CCCTACGCACCTCTTCTAATCTGCATGGCACTTTTTGCAAATACCCCTATGAAATGACCCAATGGAGCACAGGTTGTCTAGTTAGTTTTAAAAAGCAGTTGAACTGTCCAGTAAATTGAAAAGTAAATAATACTTGGCTCTTAAAAGTGAATTGTACTGGATGAAAACTCAAAAGGTAACATGCTGATAGTTAGGTATCTTAGTATCCCAAGTTCATAACTGCACATTTTTGTAGTTACTCATCTACTGCAGTGGCTATGAGCAACATGGAATATTTTAGGTTACATGCCTTTGATTATCATGGTTGCTTATATAATATTCATTTCACAAGCTAAAGCAGAGGTTCCCAACCTTTGGGCTGAGGCCCACTATTGGGCCGCAGCCCATTTGTAACCAGGCCACACCAGCGGTGGATGAGTATGCACACGCCGGCGCTCTCAACCCCACGTGCGCAGGAAGCAGGGGCCGGCACTTGCAGGCCCAATCACGCAAGCGGCAGGCACCCACGCCTGCCGCTCACACAAATGAAACTGTGCACATGTGCGTGCACACTTGCCCCTTTTGCAAAACCATCCCCCTCCCCCCCCCGCGAAAGGTTGGAGAATGCTGTGCTAAGGCATTCACAACGTTTGTTAGATGATTTGAAATAGAGGATATATTCAACAGGTAGTACTGTTGGGCAGGTCAAATTCTATTATGTTGATCAATCTTTGTGGACAAATATTTGCAGTGCTGACTAAGAACCAGAAATATTGATCAATGTTGATACTTTTAAATTAATGAAGAAAGATTTGGCAAGTTTAATTAAAAAGCCAGAGCACCAGCAGTGTTGTAGCTGATCTCTGGTATGATAAAATAAGATTAAACAACTGCTATCAGAAGTGAATTTAATAAAACAATAGCACAGGGTAGAATTTTGATTTCCCCCCCCCCAAAAAAATCTAGAAATACATGTCCTGATCATAACATGGATGCTGGGTTAACAGACAGTAATAACTTAAAATGAAAAGATGTTACATTGGTCTTGACTTTGTAGAAAAATGGAAGAAAAATGACATATCATTTAAAGCAGAGTGGAATCTGCAAAAGCATTTTTTAGGCTTTTGTGTCTCTTTTGTTAAGTAGATTACAGAAGATGCAGTCTTAGCTTCCTGCATTTTTTCAGGTATTTTTCAACAGATGATGTTTATAAGCAAAGCATCCTAATTTTGTTTTCAAATTATTTCTTGATGTTCTGGTAGACAGGTGCTCTGATACACTATTTTTATTCTGGCTGTTAATTTTTTTTTAGATTTAAAATGTTAGCTATACTTTATCTCTATAATCCTTATAGTAGCACTCAATATTGGCTTCTTTAAATTAATGAAGTGGAGGTTCTAAGGCAGAGAGATAACACTTATCCAAAGTCATTCAGTGAGTTTCTGGCTTTGGGAGCAGAATTGCAGGCTTCATATAGACTTTATATTTCAGGAATGTTACCATGTATGTGTTTCCCTCAAACTTGTGTCCAGATGGAGATATTCCTTGGCTAAGACTCATAGCGGCTATAAATACCTAATACCTACTAATCTTTCAAATCTCATAAGTAGAATAGTAGAGTCATTTGAAATCTTACGAGTTCATTTGTGATCTTTTGAGAACCAGCCTTTTTCACATGCTTTATTGATTTATACATTGACCACTCCTTAAATATGTGTCTATAATGTTGATCCAAACCAAGAGGCGTGTTACTGTTTCTGCAGTGATAAGTTGGGAGACCTTTCTGCAGATGGGTTTGGTATCAATCCTTAGTACTTTTCATTATAATGATTGAAGTTACTGGGGGAAAAAACAACCCCCTTCTTTTCTCTGGAGAAGTTGCTGTTAGGGTACAAAGTGTCCAGTAGGTATATAAAGTAGCATTCTGTATAAAGGTAGGTAGGTAGGTGAGTTGATGGATGGATGGATGGATGGATGGATAGATGGATGGATGGATGGATGGATAGTAGGGAGGAAGATGGGAGGGGAGAGGTTTCAATAATAATAATAATAATAACAACAACAACAACAATAACAATAGTTGGAAAGGACCTTCCACGCAGTGACATTGACAGACTCTACCTACCAAGGCAAATAGGTGGGCGTGGAATGCTGCAAGTACATCAGATGGTTGAAGAAGAAGAAATGGCTTTGGAAGAATATCTGAAAGACAATGATGAAGATGCACTGAAATTAGTATATCAGGAAGGCTTACTGACTACTGGAGAGACCAAACTGGCCTACAAGAAAGACCAAATGAAGAACAGAATAGAGGCATGGGAAGAGACAGCACTACATGGCCAGTTCATTAAAAAAAATAGCTGGGAAAGCAGATAATAACAAGACCTGGCAATGGCTAAGAGCAGGAAAATTGAAGAAAGAGACTGAGGGACTAATTCTGGCTGCACAAGACCAAGCCTTAAGGACAAATGCATACAAAGCCAAAATTGAAAAGACAGCAACAGACAGTAAGTGCCGCCTATGCAAAGAAGCTGAAGAAACAGTGGACCACCTGGTAAGCTGCTGCAAGAAGATCATACAGACTGACTACAAACAGTGGCATGACAAAGTAGCAACAATGGTGCATTGGAAGATCTGCAAGAAATATCACTGCCTGTAAGCAAGAACTGGTGGGATCATAAAATAGGGAAAGTCATAGAAAATAATAAAATTAAACTGCTCTGGGACTTCAGAATTCAAACAGACAAACACCTGCAACTTAACACCTCGGACTTAATTATTGTCGATAAGAAAGACAAAAAAGTCTGGATAGTGGATGTGGCAGTGCCTGGAGACAGCAGAATAGACGAGAAAGAACTGAAGAAGATAGCAAAATACAAAGACCTACAAATAGAAATAGAAAGACTGTGGCAAAAGCAAGCAAGGGTAGTACCAATAGTACTAGGCGCCTTGGGTGCAATCCCAAAACAACTGGAGCACCACTTGAACACCATTGGCATTGACAAATTCGCCATTAGTCAATTGCAAAAGGCGGCCTTACTAGGAACTGCTTCCATCCTGCGACGATATGTGTAATACCATCAAACATCCACATCTGCCTATCCCAAGTCCTTGGTAAGGACTCAATAGGTAGACAAAAATGCCAAATCCAGTCTGAACATCTGGCTGACTATGCGATGGTAAATAATAATAGTTGGTAGGGACCTTGGAGGTCTTCTCGTCCAACCCCCTGCTCAGGCAGGAAACCCTATACCATTTCAGACAAATGGTTGTCCAGTCTCTTCTTAAAAACTTCCAGTGTTGAAGCATTCACCACTTCTGGAGGCAGGTTGTTCCACTGATTAATTGTTCTAACTGTCAGGAAATTTCTCTTCAGTTCTAAGTTGCTTCTCTCCTTGATTAGTTTCCATCCATTGTTGCTTGTCCTGCCTTCAGGTGCTTTGGAGAATAGCTTGACTTCCTCTTCCTTGTGGCAACCCCTGAGATATTTGAACACTGCTATCATGTCACCCCTAGTTCTTCTCTTCATTAAACTAGACATACCCAGTTCCAGCAACTGTTCTTTATATGTTTTAGCCTCCAGTCCCCTTTGTATGTTTTAGCCTCCAGTCATCTTTGTTACTCTTCTCTGTACTTTGTATTTCAGAGAATCATGGAAAGGGAAATATTCAGAAATCATTATATGAACAAATAGCAGAAGCATTCCTTAAGCCCTCGGAAAGGAGATAATTGTAGGAAAGATTTAGGCTGGCGCCTCACTCAGTGGGATATAAGAAGGAAGCGAAGAAAAACACAATCAGATTTGCCAAATTTTATTAATATAGCCTCTTAATAAAGCTTATATCTGGTTTTCTTGTGGAGTCGGTTTCCTGATAAAAACAACCTTAAAGAGCTGACAGTGATCTTCTTTTATAAAATATAGTGTTGTATATGTTTTTTTTTCAGATATTGAGACAAGTGAAAAAATCCAGAAAAGTGGCACTCTCCCGGTGTTTGCAAGCCTATTGACTCCGCAGTCTTCCTGCACTGCAAAAGTAGCTAACGTCATAGCAGAAATAGCCAAAAATGGTGAGGTTTTCCACAAAGCCTTTTTTGCTGGAACATCTTCAGTTTTGCAGATCACGTTGTCAGTATGTTTTACTTTTTTTAAGTTTTCATTTTATGGATGTTTCCATTTCTCTCTCTCTCCATGTTTTTGTTTAGTTCAATCTTTATGTTATACTAGTAACTAGTGCCATCAAAAAGAACATACTTTCAGAAATGTGTATTAATTGCAAGTGAGCATTGAGCATACATTAAATACAAAGAGTGGCAAAAATCAGGATATATGGGAAGTATTCTAATGATGAAAAAGACAAGACTGTGCCAGAGTGTACCTTAAGGATAAAAGATATGAGGTGGAATTGGTCATGGTATTTGATGTTTTAAACCTAAACAAGGCATATGCACCAGATTTTTTTCCCCATTTTTTTCTAGCCCCAAAAGATGGGCTATTAATTGCTATTAATCACTGGCTTATTGCCAAAATGTAGCAATACAATTCCTAGGAGTTCTCAGGGTCATAAAAAATAAATTCAAAACCTTATGCAAGGTGCATATTCATTGCATTCTTTAAAATCTACCCCTTTATTGAGGGCTTAGTTACAAAGATTACCATTTCATTCTGTATGCAGAGCACATTGAACATTTACTGCTTTACAGACCCTACTCTACTGTCAAAGTATATACTCAAAGCCTAGCAAGTAATAATCATACTTCAGAATGAAAATTCCCCCACCTTTTCAGGCAGTAAATTACTATGGGCTGGATTCAGATTTAGCCATGCTTAGACTCACTGAAAGTAAAGGGATGAAAGGATTTGCAGATATGAAGAAGGAATAAGAGATCCTCATTTTGTCTAAACATGAGAGTCTCGGGGTAAAAATTACAATGCTTAAATTTTGAACTTCATCTTAAAACAACAGCTGTTTCAAACGTACCAATAAATAATTCTTAGGCAATAGTCTTTAATTGATCTTCGTTTCTTTTTCCATGGATTGTAGAGTTTATGCGGAATCCATGTGTGGATGCTGGCTTGATCCCACCTTTGGTTCAGCTCTTAAACTGTAAAGATCAGGAGGTGCTTCTTCAAACGGGGCGTGCCTTGGGCAACATATGCTATGACAGCCGTAAGTCTTCAAATATCTATATTTTTATTTTTAAATCTTACCTATTCATTTTTTATAGTATTATTGGAGCTTTTGTGCAAATTTTTCTGAGACATTAGCAGGTGTTGTCCTACATGACAGGTTTTCATTGATTTAAATGGAAGCAGGCAAATCCTTGACAAATAGTCTAAAGATCTGAAGACAGAGATAGAAAAATTGTCTTGTGTGTTTACTTGTTTTACAGTTTTCTGTAGTGGAAGACTTGCCAAATTTTATTTTTATAAATAAATCAGTAGAGTTATGCAATGCAATTTTACTCCAACTCACAAAATAAAACTGGATGGAATTTGCCATATTTAGGTTCCCACTGATCATCGTATGTGATGTTACAAAATATGAATCCAGATTCTCATGTGTATATGCTTTGCTGTCAGTTCTGCTTTTTTAGCAGAAGGTTCAGTTAGCCATGTAAACCAAATAAAATAAAATAAAATAAAAATAAAAATTTCAGACATAGAAGCAGATAATTATCAGAGGGACTGTAGACAGTAATATATTATAACTGCTATATCACTGTCAAAAAGTATACCCAATACTTTATTAGTAGATGTTTTTACTGCCAATTTTACCTTGCTGGAAGAAAGGAACCACAAAAAATATATGCTGAATTTTATTATGAATGGAACAGGTTGGCAAATATTTAGAAGGCCCAAATATAAAATTGTAACATCAGAACAAGAATGAAACTGCAGCTGATATTCAGTGTATTTTAACATGTAGAAATATGTTTCATAATTATATTTGTCTAGAGATGAAACCAATGTTTCCTAATATATAAAAAGAAGCATACAGATTCTCGGTCTTCAGAGATAACTTTTTTTTTTTTTTACAAACATGGGCATGATATCTACATCTTTGTTCTTGGTTATTTTGTTGTTTGTTTTCTTGTTCTGATTACCATTTAGAGTAGGGGTATCAAACTCAATTTCATTGAGGGCTGCATCAGCATTGCGGTTGTCCTCGGGGGGGCGGGTAGGTGTGGCCAGGGTGGGCGTGGCCTACTGGGTGGGCATGGGTGGAGTGTGGCCTACTGGGTGGGCAAGGCCAGCTCTACATCGTTCGCGTCAAGGGTGCCTGTGGGGGCCTGGGCAGGAGTGGGACAGATCTGAAGGTCTCTGGCCGAATGGGGTGGGACTAGGGCAAGTGCCAAGGCATGGTCCACTGGAAGAGCCTGCCGAAACCCCTCCCCCGGAGCCCATCAAGCCGGATATGTGAAGTAGGCAAGGGCCATTTGGTGGCCACTTCCAGGCGATGGTGCATTTCTTCATTCCTCACAAAGGGTGACACCTCCCCAGCATGCACCCAGGAGGTGGGGCAGACGCGGCAGGGGCTGGTTCCTCACTGTTTCCAGACGGCCTTGTGGAGCTAAGACTGAATGCGTTTTAGCATAGATGGCCACCACAAAATTGTATATTGGCTCCCAGCTGGCCTGGGCCAGGGCCAAGGCAGCGGGGGCCGTTCCCTCACTGTTTCCAGGATGGCTTCGTGGGCCACATGAAACCACGTTGCGGGCCGCATCCGGCCCCCGGGCCTTGTGTTTGACATGTCTGATTTAGAGCCATACACAACATATTGTCTAATAGTTATAGAGACATATTTTAATTACCACTATAGAGGCATATTTGGATATCACAGGATTATGACATCAGCTGGGAATAGTTCCCCAACCTTTCCAGCTTGGTGGCTCAGAAGGAAAGGGAGTTGTAGGGAAATGTGCACGCGCACAGCCAACGGGCGTGTGCACGATAGTGGTGCTAGCGTGCGTGTGCATGCACAAGTGGGCCACACACATCCATGACACGCTGACGCCTGTGCGCATGCGCAAAAGGGCCACTAGCATTCATGTGATGCTGGTGGTGGTGCTAGCGTCCCCACACATGCGCAAGTGGGGCCACTAGTGCCTGCGCAGTGGTGCTACCGCGAGTGGGGCGGGGCCTCGCAAGCTATTTCCGGGGCCTGGTGGCCGTGGATCGGTACCGGGCTACGGACCATAGGTTGGGGACCCCTGCTTTACAGCATTCTCTGAGCAGTTTACAATGTCAGCATATTGCCCCCATTTTACCGACTTTGGAAGAGTGGAAGGCTGAGTGTGGAAGGCTGAGTCAGTCTTGAGCTGGTGAGGATCAAATTCCCAGCAGTGAGCTGAATTAACCTGCAGTACTGCATTCTAACTACTGTGCTATCGCAGCTCCTATAAAATAAACAATGGGAAATCAGGAATGCTCCAAGCAAATTATTATTTCCTTATTTGTGCAAAATGAGAATAAGGAAAATAGAAGTAGAAAAGTTTTGCTTCTAACAAGTCTAAATTGGTTTATCTACAATAATATGTTCCAAGCATCATAAATGGGGATAAATAACATCAGTTACATTCCTCAACGGTTTGTTGTTAAGAATAGTTGCTTTCTATATAATTCATAATTGCTCTGTTCATTCATATCTAACATGAATGTCTAAGTTATAAAAGTGTTAGTGTTTTATAACAATTAGTTCGTTGACGTGGTACATAGGAGCTAAAGCTACATTATGTTGTTGGCTATAGTGAGTTGACTGTCTGCTAAGAGTCCCCTTGGCAATTAATATTATTTTTCTTCTTTGCCAGGATAGCAATGAAATACTACATTAATTAAAATTGCATCATTTTTAACAGTGAAATTATAAAGAGATTGTTCTGGTCACAGGTTTATTTTAAATGTGGCAAATATATTGTCCCCTAGTGAATGAAACAGCAAAATGGTAGAGATCACATATTATTTCTTTTTGAACAGTTTATTACCTGTGTATCAATGAATATTTTGAAATACATCTACTGAATATTCCAATAAAGAGCTTCTTGACTGTTTAATGTTTATATTGTATGATAAGAAAATGATCATATACTGTTGTTTATCTTATAATTCCATTACAACAATGGAAGACAATAAAACGGATCCTTGCTCCAGCTACAAGAAAAAACAGAGACTTCTACCTACCCACCCTTTGGCTTAGCAAGTTATATGTCTGCCATGGTAGATTACATGGCACAAGATAGTTAAGCCAGTGATGAATCCCTAGTATGTCTGTCAAATAAACCAGCTTACTGCCTGATTTCCAGGCTGTTGATTATCATTGCTTTACTCTTAAATAGATTCATCTTCAGCCATTTTAATTAATCTAGCTAAGCCGCTAATAATTCAGAATCTGGGTCAAAATGTATTTGAGAAAGAGGAGATTATCTTCTTGTCTGTGTTACTGCTCTTGGAATTCTTAAACCAGATTTCTCCAGCTCATGTTCTTCAGAGGTGATGCTCCCATAATTTGCATAAGGTGATTATGAGCAGGATGTTTGAGTACATAGAGTATGCAGAGCACCTAAACATTTAAGTATGCAAACATGGCTGTAAAGCAAACTCCAGTGAATATTTTGAAGCAAGTTCAGAAATACAATACTTATGTCTTATTACTTAAAGACTGTCCTAGACTAGAGAAAGAGAAGAAACTTCATCAAATACAGTGATTTATGATCGCCATGGCTTTAAGTTATTGCAAGGGAAAAGCAGTCCTGAAGAGTAAGACATTGGAACTGAATTGCTAAATCCTCTTACAGAAAAACAGTAGCAGTAGCAAAAGCAAAATAAAGCATCCTTTAAGTCATCTCAACACATAGTGGCTTCATGAGCAACCTTTGCTTTTTCTTTCTTGGTAGTGGTACAGAATTAGTTTATTATTGCCTCAGGGATTTTATTTTTACTTCCCCATTTATCCTACAGCCTGAAATTTCCTGGTGGTCTCCTTTCCAAATATTAATCAGATGCAACCTCAGTTGGCTTTTCAAGTTCAGCCAGCTTAAGGGGAGCAGCCTTGTATGTATAAATGCTATAATTTTATGCCTGGGTTTTCTTACGCAAACAGGACCATGCTACGTTTCACCTTTTGTTGTTCTTGAGGAAGACTTATTGAGAACAGTCGTGATGCAAACTGTGTGAATAGAGTTTGTTTGTTAGGTTTGCAACCAGCAGAACATTTTTGCTTTTTTAAAAAAAAAATATATACTGTTTATTTCAAAAGGCAGCAACACCTTCCAATTTATTACAGAAACTGGGAATGTTTTACGTGGGAGTTTACTTCGCCGCTGAACTTGACAAGGTAATAGACAAACAGAGAATAAGACAAAACAACATGTTCCAAACTTGTTTTGACTGGGATGTGGTGGGTATATTTAGCAGGCAGTTCTCCAATACTTTATGCATGGAGAAGAGAGAGAGACGGTAATTAGAATTGTGACACCCTGAATTTACAGTGTGGTTTGTCCTTTCTTAAAGGGTGAAGACTGCTGGAACATAGTCACAGAATCAGCATTTCTGGCAGTTTCTCTCCCCAAATTAATTTTGATTAATTTTAGATTAAGTGGATCTAAAAAGGCACTGGTGAGTTTTCTCACTGTCAAGTCCTGTAAATAAACAGTTCTGTAGGCAGATTTACTTCACATCATCTGCAAGAAGGAGGCGGCTCAGGGAGGCTAAAGGGAAGAGGGGGGAAATTCCCCTAAACAACAATCTCTGTTATTTATAAGACCTCATAGAGTCCACCTAGTCTTTGGATCTCATGTGCAGTTGATTTGTTTTTGTGTGGATTTGTATATCATACGATAAGGCAGGGGTCCCCAACCTTGGCAACTTTAAGACCTATGGACTTCAACTCCCAGAATTCCCCAGCCAGCATGGCTGGCAGGGGAATTCTGGGAGTTGAAGTCCACAAGTCTTAAAGTTGCCAAGGTTGGGGACCCCTGTGATAAGGAACAAAATCTCTGGGTGCTTTACATACAGCCCAGCAAATACCTGCAAACTATGTGGCTTTTTTCAGCTTATTTTTACATATACACAATTTGGATTGCAAGGAGTCTCTTAAAAATCAGTTCATTTATGGTAACAAAAATGTATGTATATTTTGATGGGTTCTAATTGCAGAATATTGGTGTAATATAATATAAGTCGTAGGAATAAGCATTAGTTTCCTGGAATGCTTACTTGCTTGACCATTTTTTATCCAGTTCTCTCTCCAGAATACTTAAGACAGTATATACGATATTTTTAACTCCACGCTACTGATCAATCTTTACAGCTCCCTTTTCAAAACAAAGATTAGCCTGAGGCTCCTCCCTGGATAATTTTTGTACCATTAAAAACCAACATCTGATCCCCCAAAATGTTTGCTGCAGCAAAACATGACTGAGTCATTTGGTTTGGGGGAATTTCTTGTCCCAGTTCATCACAATAAGATCTGTATGTAGCATTTGATATGGAAATGCCTTAAACATGGTGATGAAAATATGATATTTTTGCACCCTTGTGTATAATCAAATAAAACAGAAATCGATGACCTTTCCTTTGTTCTAGAGAGGAAAATGTGTTTGTACATATGAACTGTTTTTGTGTTGGAGCTCATGTGTGTATCATAGCTCTTGTATCCAAAGTTCTTTACTTGTAGGAAGGAAAGAAAGGCATACATGTGGATTTTGACAACGTTGTTAATCTCTTTACCTTTCATAACAATTTTTATGCATAATAATGATTGCAGAGATTCCTTACATCCTACTATATTTTTTCTTTTTTTGCTAATGGACTGTGTTAAATGAATTGCCTCAAGATTTTCTTTTGCAAGGCATTACTTTATTGTCTGGGAGAAGGGATTTTAATGTTCAATATATTATATTCATATTACAAAACAAATGAGAAACATTATGATACATTATTTTAGATTATATAAAAATATTATAATACATTACTTTAGATTATATGATCCATAAAAAGTTCAGCAATCAAATAATGTATAATTTTGGGGGGGTTATATGGTCCAAGCATAAATGATTTCTTCTAAAAATATTGCTACAATATGCTTCAACAAATGGAAGACTAACTTTGAATCACTTGTAGTTAGATAGCAAACTAGGATCAAGTCCTATTTGAAGAACTCTTTGCAAAGTATAGTTAATGGAATTATGTTATGGTACAATGGCTAAACTGGCAAACAATGACTAATACCATTGCTCTGCTGCTAGATTTCTTTATACCATAGAAGAAAGGATTGAGTAGGTGGCAAGCAAATGCAAGCAGTTGTAAATAACAGCTGATTGGATAAATAAAGCAGAAAACAAAGCATTCTAAACTATAACTTATCTTTTGGAAAATATGACAGTCTGACTCCAGATTATGCTGAATGCCAGAAAGATACCATGATCAGCATTGTCAAATGCCACCAATACTTCTTACAGGACTACAAAGAAGTTCATGTAGTTCCTGACTAAAGTCATCTTCCAGAATGACCTATTCTGTTTCTTTCTGTGACAGAAAGAAATCTAAATAGTCTATGCCTTCTAAGATCCTGTATCCTGAATTCCCAACCACTTTCTCGACCACCTTCCCTAAAGAGGGAAGATTGGAAACTGGTTTGAAGTTGTTTAATATGGTTGAATTGAGGGATAGCCTCTTGAGCGGCAATATATTACCACTTCCTTCAAGGTGGAAGGTGGTAGAATTTTGTCCTTCTGTAGAGAAGCATTAACTTCCTCCTGAATCTGGATGTAGCCTCCAGCACCACCACTGTTCATACACAACTTTGACTGAGAATTTCTGACAATGGTAGCTCATTCTTTGGTCATCATGTAATTTGATTGTTGCAGTATGTTCTACATTTTGAAGGCAATCCCAAAGTGGCAATGAGTTCAGAAAACAGTGACCAGACTGTTAGTAGAAGAAATGCACTTTTGTAGGGTCCTTCCTATTCTGCAGTTGCTTTATTTTGCATTTTCTTTGGAAGTGGACTTCCAAGACCACTTCAGGGTTCTGGTTATAACGTATAAAGTCCTATATATCATAATGTCAGTATATATCAGGGGCCACCATATTAAACATGATCTTGGCTGTCTTATCTGAACTTCTAGAGAGGGCTTACTTAAGACCCCTCTCCCCATCCTCCTGGAGTTAAGAGAAGTATAAGCTAGAAAACAAACCTTCTCAGAATTGGATTTTTCATTCTGAAATGTGCTGTCCCAGAAAGACATCATTTTTACTTCTGACAGTTTGGTGTGCATGGAACAATCATTTTGCCTTAACAGATCTTTGCCGTTTTGTGAGGTGGTGTGGCAACCATCTAGTTTTTATGTTTATTGCAAAGCGTTTTTAATGTATTATGATTTTGTATATTGACCAGATTGATTAAATTGGGGATGTATATAAATGTTGTCAAATAAATACCATTAAAACAGCCTTTGCCTTTTAGCTGCTAATCATTATAAACACTGATTATCTGATCTGGCGATGGACCTCATCAGCATTTTTTCACATAACCGGCATACAGGTGCAAGCAGCTGCTTATGTATGTATGTATGTATAAACACATGTAGTCCATCAGGACTTGTTAAAGGAAGCAATATTTCAAAATATTTTACCTACAGATAGACTTATCTGATTTTGCAGGAATTCTCTTCTTGATTGACCTACCTTTTTTATTGGCTAGATGGATTTTGTAAAATGTTAATATTATTTGAGTATAATTGACTTTCCAAAATCCAGAGATACCGTGTGATATATCTGCGATAAAATAGGAGCTATGCAAGGTGATCTAAGGAAAATATATGCCTTTCAGGAGATTCAATTCTTCGTATTTTGTTTCCTTGTGAAAAAGAAATTCCCCTTCTTAACTCGCTACCTTCAGAAAGCCATTGAGATGTATTGATTAATATTTTGTTTCCTTGTGAAGAAGACATTCCCTTTCCTGACTCCCTACCTTCAGAGTGCCTTTGAGATGTATTGATTAAATTGTTGGATTGGCGGCAGAGAGACCTAGATTCTGCTCTCACCCATGGACTTCCTGGATCAGATCAAATAATTTTCATTTAGCTCACAGAGTATTTCTGGGGGGGGGGGGAAATGGGAGGAAGATGCTGTGACTCAAGATCATGAACAAAACTCAGCATGTAAATCTAATGAGTGTTTTCCCATGATATTATAGTCCCTGAAGTTATCCTAAGCATCTCTGTCATAGATAAATTATGTAAAATCCTACTGAAACATTCTTGCACAACACATTTACAATAGCACTAATAATCCAAGACCTTTATTCTCTTTATGATTATTGTTATGTTTGGAACTCTTAAGTGCCTTTTTAATTTTATTTCTTAATTTGACTCTTTGTTTTACAGATGAGGGCAGAAGTGCTGTTGACCATGCAGGTGGGGCACAGATTGTAATAGACCATTTAAGGTCACTGGGCAGTAAAACAGATCCAGCCAATGAGAAGCTCTTGACTGTCTTTTGTGGCATGCTGGTGAACTATAGCAATGAGAATGGTAAACAAATATGCTAAAAAACTGTCTTGCCTATACCTTTATCTATCTATCTACACACCTATTAGAAAAATAAATGTAGGGTTTATAAATTGAAAAACAAAGATGGGCGGCCAATTGATTTTATTAATTAAATTACTGCAACATTAATAGGTATCATCAAAAAGTCAATGCATACAGTACATGTCCCAGTTCAGACTTCCATGTCCTTCTCTGTGTTCTGGGAGTTTCCAGGAAAGTAGGTACTCTCATTCTTTCTAATGGAAGGGATAGCTTGAGTGAATGGGAGAAAGATTTTATAGCAGCTTCTAATTGCTAGGATAATGTACATAGCCAAGTGAGCTCTTTGCTTGTGCAGTGGTTTGTCCAACAGTAATTGTCCTTCTACACACTACCACCACAAAACTTGAGAAAGAACTTTCATGTTTTATGGTGGTGACTATAATTTTACATCCCTTTAAAACTCTGCCTATGTTGCGTTTAGATTCCAAACTTCATAAGCCTCAAGGTGTTAGATGAGCAGTGTTCAAATATAGGTTTTGTTCATTCTTCCCTTCCGTGTTTTTTGGTTCACAAGGATCTATATAGAGAGTCCCTGTTCCAGGCATAAGGAGGGCAAGGGGGTGGTTTTCAAAAGGCTCTTGTGCCAAAATTGGCACTTGAGAAGAAGAGAAATAAAGGACAGATACACATTTTTGATACTCTTTCTCAGTTTCATAGATGCCAGGAATCATTAAGAACCAGGTCAGCCTCTGACTGGTGTCTATGTATTGGGAACTTGCTTATATGGAAACACAAAGGTGAATATTTATAATAATACGTTGTTTTCTCCTTAAGAAACTTATATTAAACTTCTATACCCTTTCTTGTAGGTGTCATCTGCCAATCTGCCATCTTACTCTGTTAACTCTTCTCATTCACGTTTTTTTACCTGTAACATTGTTTCAATTTAAATGTTTGTGTGTGTATGTGCGTGTGCGTGTGCGTGTGCTGAAATAACTAATTGGATTTCTTTGAACTTCTCTTGAATGAGGGAGTCATTATTTCCAACTGATAGTTGATTCGATGGCCCAAGTGAATTTGCTTTCCATCTCATCCCAAACCTGAGGATGATCATTATATTCATTTCATTTAGTTATCTATGAGAGCTTTTTTGAATGAAGTGATTATAATATAAATTCCCAAATAAATTGCAGTCTTCACAATATAACACTAAATGAACTACTAATTCCATCCAAGAGAAACATTTCAAAGAAAGTCCTCTCCTGGATGCCAGGTCTCCAACTAAATTATCATAATTAATAAAAACGGCACTTGACTGTGTATGTTTTCTTAATGTTTATGTGGCAAGGCACACTTAGAAAATTTGAGTCTGAAAATACTGCTCATGGTTTCTCCTTTTACTTGGGGTATACTGCTTTATTTTGGTACAGTTATGTATTGCAATGTTAGCAACCAATGTGACTTCCAAACTTGGAACCTTCTCCCATTTGTGCAGCAGCTCCACAATCCGGAAGCTCTATCTAGTCAACACCAGCTGTCCTTGGAGTCAGGTGTCACAACCATGGCAAAGAAGTAGACTATGCACAATTATGGCTGGCATGCCAGCTGTGATTCTTCCTGAACTGGTCAGATTTGGCAACAGCAATCCATGGTTATATCTAATCTTTTAAGCTGGTCATCTCACAAGAAAGCTATTCATAGGGTGTCCTTTGAAATATGTCTGGAGTTTGCATTTGATGTGAAACATAAAAATTAGACTACTAACCTGTACAAGATACAGGGATCCAGAAGGTTTGCCCTGATTGTCAAGTGCTTCCTGAGCATAATTTAAGGTAGATGTGTTTGTATTTCTATTACTATTTCAGGCCTTAAAAATCTTTGAGCTCTGTGTATGTATGCTGCTGCAGAAGGACTCCTTCTTAAGATGCTTCATTGCCTATCTGGTGCAGAAGAATTCTGCAATACACTTGGGCTGTTGAATGTTCTTCAAGAACTGATTTTGACTCTCATTATCTCAGCATATAGAAAATACATGTTGCCTTGATTGGTTTATATTTTACCTTTTTACATTTCTCTTTGTTCTTTTAAATCTGAAATAAGCGAAAAAGAGAAAAATAACCAACATTCTACTTTGATAATTATTTTATCTACCAAGGCTTATGACTTGTTAACTGCTGTTTGAAAGCTGTTTCTAATGACAGCTAGAATTATGTTGTAAGTGGAAGTAAATTGTATAATATGATCTAATGAGTATTATTGAGATTCAAAACATTTACATGGAATTTGTATGTTTAGTTATCCTTTGTTTGTATAATAATAATAATAATAATAATAATATAACAACAACAACAACAACAATAATAATAATAATAATAATAATATTAATAAAGTTGGAAGGGACCTTGGAGGTCATCAAGTCCAACCCCCTGCTCAGGCAGGTAACCCTATACCATTTCAGATAAATGGCTGTCCAGTTTCTTCTTAAAAACTTCCAGTGTTGGAGCATTCACAGCTTCTGGAGGCAGGTTGTTCCACTGATTAATTGTTTTAACTGTCAGGAAGTTTCTCCTTAGTTCTAGGTTGCTTCTCTCCTTGATTAGTTTCCATCCATTGCTTCTTGTCTTGCCTTCAGGTTCTTTGGAGAATAGCTTGATTCCCTCTTCCTTGTGGCAACCCCTGAGAAATTGGAACACTGCTATCATGTCCCCCCCTCGTCTTTCTCTTCATTAAACTAGACATACCCAATTCCAGCAACCGTTCCTTATATGTTTTAGCCTCCAGTCCCCTAATCATCTTTGTTGCTCTTCTCTGTACTCTTTCTAGAGTCTCAACATCTTTTTTGCATTGTGGTGACCAAAACTGGATGCAGTATTCCAAGTGTGGCCTTATTCTGTTACTTGCTATTCAAAAGTTACTGATGTAGTAGCACAGGGTAAACTTAGTGTAGGTAATCCTCACATACCATTTGCCTGAAAATTATGATGGTACTGAAAAACCCATACTCAGAACTTGTGGCAGTTGTAGCATCCCGATAGTGATCATGATTTGGGCACTTGGAAACTGGCATGCATTTAGGATGATTGCGGTGTCTCCGGTCATGTGATCAGTATTTGTGACCATTAGAGCTGGTTTCCAATAAGCAAGGTCAGTGTGGAAGCCAGCAGAATCTTGCAAATCATAGTCACAGGCTATAGTACTTAATGACCCATAGTGATTCGCTTGACCTCAGAGGAACTGATGCCATACTGTAAGTCCAGCACGGTCACATTATGTTTCACTTAACAACTGCATTACTTAGTGACAGAATAGACAGTCCTTTTTCTATTTGTTAAATGAAAATTACTTGTATGGAGAACAGCGTCTTAAATTGAATTTCACATTTTCTTTTGGGTGAGACATGAAGAATATGGAACCATTGAAATTAAGAAATGGCCTAAGTTTCACTTTTTAATGAAACTTGATGTTAAAGTAATGCTGTATTTGTTTGATTGCTCATGTTTTAGAATATATTTTATATTACAGCATTACTTTACAGTGAAAACTTAATTCAGCTAATGAAGTCATACTCCTGGAACTTTATAATGCATAGATCCTATTTTAAGCAGTTATGCTGCAATACCCAGTTAATCTTAAAAAATCTAAGTGGTCTTGGACCTAGTTGTATTTGAATAGAAAAGTAGTAGAAAAACCTCTGTACTGTTGATTAGACCTGGAAGTTTTAAAAAATCCTGGGGAAAAAAGCAATATCAGACAGCTTCTGTTTAATTAAGAAAATATGGATTTGTGCTTAACTCAATACTCAGATGGTGAATGAAACATTTTTCTTCCAATTAAGGGCCACATGATATAATACTACAAATGAATGAAGCTATGTGAGTGGATAAATAATGGATGGAAGGACATTTTTTAGATGTGTTGTGCATTTCTAACATTTTCCCATCTTTTTTATATAGTATGAAATTACACCTTCATTTGTAGATAGAATGACATAACATTTTAGCAACACAGTTCTTGATCTTTGATCATCACAAAAAATCCCGAATCTTGAAAACATGGGTCTCTGTTCTTACATGATGATCCTAAAAATATTAAACATGCATGCTGATATCACAATATAAGCTGTGCTTTTTTTGTATTTGCATTGTGGCATTACATAAAGTTTGCACACAACATTGTGACACAAATTTCATCACCCCTCTCCCTCCCTCTCCCCAATCCTATAAATTGTAACTTGCCTTCTCTGGCAGTATGAAAACTGCTATAAAAGAAATTCCTTGTTCATCCTGCTTGCTATACATTATGTTTTCTGCCATGTCTTTGTTTATCATAGAACCATAATTTATGATCCCAAATTTACATGAAGCATTTCAAGTTAAAAGAGAATGGATTTTGATTTACCTAAACATGTAGAGTAGAAATGCAGTTATCTTTAAAATAGATTGTTTCCTTGCCTAAAATTATACTTTGTCAGCTTTGTAATGGTGAGGTCTATGGAAGGCCTACTCATAAATAATCCCAGTGAGTGGCTTTTCATGTTGATTTTCTAGAGCTGAACCAAACACTTTAATCATGCTTGTATTTGCCTGCTGTTGGCAAAAACTATCATTGCTATTTTTTTTAAAATAAAAGAACTACTACTTTTAATCCAGATAATTTAAGGTGAGCCTATAATAGGAACACAAGTTATTTTTAAAATGCAATTTGTATATGTCTTCTCAGAAGCAAGTTCCACTGACTATACTCTGAATTGTATGAATCTGCCTATAGAAAGCTTTTATCAGCCAAAATTAATAATAAGGGATTATTAAGTATATGAATTAGACTGATATAAATGCAATCTGAGTGCCAGTTTTGTGTACTGGGTAAGGCATCAGGCTAGAAACTTGGAAGCCATGATTTCTAGGCCCACCTTAGGTGCAAGCCAGTTGTGTGACCTTGGGCCAGTCACTTTCTCTCAGCCCTTAGAACAGTGGTTCTCAACCTGTGGGTCGGGACCCCATTTGGGGTCGATCAACCATTTCATGGGAGTCGCCAAGCAAGGCTGTCCGCCATTTTTTTGTCCGCCATTTTTTCCCCTTTTCCAGTGGGTGCCTTACCTCCCTTGGGCTGGGCCAGCTGGTGGTCGGCCTGCTCCGTCTCTGCCGCTTGCCAGCTACACCTCGGCCGGCGCCGGGGGCGGAACCACGCATGTGCGGCGCTCCCGGGCAGGGAAAGTCCTCGACTTACGACTGGTTGGGTAGTCCTCAACTTACAACCGGTTTAGTCATCGACTTACGACTGGTTTAGTCCTCAACTTATGACCGGTTTAGTCCTCGACGTACGACCGGTTGGGGTCGCGGCATTAAAAAGGTTGAGAACCACTGCCCTAGAAAGAGCCATTTGCAACCATTTCCAAGGAGTCAAGAAAACTTCTGGGGGTTGTCTAAGCAGTCTCCAAGAATTGGACCCGATTGAATAGAAAAAAAAGTGCAATCTAAGCTGGGAGTCAACAGCATAGTTCCTACTTGAGTTTAACTCACTCTTCAAGTTTTTCAAAAGTTCAGGCCAAAAGGAAGCCAGTTTGTTATCTAGACCTTGTATTTTACATCTCTTCCAGATTCTTGGGCTGTTCACTAATTTAGGGATATATAGATTACGAGTAGTTAATGGTGGTGCTTTTTAACGCCCCATACATATAATTTCAACTGGTTCAGAAAAAAACTGTTTCAACATTTCTATTTATTGAAAAGGTAAGACTATCTAACATAAAAGAGTGTTCATATTTAGAAAATAATAAGAAAAAATATATTATCCTAAATTGGTGTTCCCCAACATCTTGGACTGTAATCTTTGTTTTAACTTTTAAAAATTGAGTGGTATATCTCAACTGATAATATCTACAAAAAATGTGAAGTAAACATGTATACTTCTAAATGTTATAAATTTGCCAAACAGTAGCCTCACCCCAGTAGTACTTTTCCTTGCATCTTCTATTCTTTGATGAACTTTTTTTCTTGAATGGCTTGCAATTTGTGTAGTGATTGCTTGTTTGTCCATAAAAATATTTGCCTTTGCTGTAGGTGAAAGTTGAATTCTACATTTACTCTTCGTACATCAGGTCATTGACTAAATTTGTAATCTGCAAATAATGTTTGAAATCTAACATTATTTTCAGATTAGTTTTCTAATCCCAGCTACTCTTTTTAAGAAAAATTTGTTTGGGGGAAAACTGCTTTTGACATATTCCTATGAGTATTAATTTTTACTAAACAGACTCTCTCATACACAATTCTTCAAAAAGTATGTCATGATGGATAACACATTTTTATCAAAGAGTTAATGTGATTCTTATTTCATTGTGGTAAAGGTAGACATGTAGTTATTTGAAATGCTGACATATATATATTTTCAATAGTTTTAAAAGAGATTTGGAGACTCCTAAATAGACATTTGCTGAACAGCAGTTCTCATGTCACTAGGAGATATAGTTTACCAAAACTTGGAAATTGATACCTTGCTTGTTTTGTTTGTGACAAAGTTCATCTCTATTAAATACCGTGATCTTTCACACGGTCACCCACATACTGTATGCAGGCATTCAGCTGGTGGGAAAATAGGTAATAAAATATCACACTTCTCATCTCTGTTATATTTCAGTATACATGTGGAGATAGATTCATCTCCTCATATCTAAACTGCAAAGGATTAAATTTTTCACCTGCACCAATAATAGTTTTGCTCAGGATCATAGCAACTTAAAAAATAAATGAGCAATTGAATCCAATTGTGGTTGGATTTAGTTGTTTATATAATTGCCATCAGTAGGAAGTGGTTTGTGTTATTCCATTGATTGCACTGAGCCTGCTCAAAAAATAGTTAAATCTAGATCCAACCCAGTGTTAGTATACAATACTTAGAAACTTGAATGTGCAAAAACTGGTGGATTGTTGACAGCAAAAAAATCTACTTCTTGTTAATAGATCTGATGCCTAGGTCTCTAAAATGTATAGTATTTCCCAAATGACCACAATACTTGCACTTTTGTAATAAAAAAAACCAAGGACAACCTCCATAAACTACTTTTTCTAGGATTTGGGGACATTTTTCACTATGTAATTAAAATTATATAAAACTAACATTATTAGATAAAAATGCTGAGAGGTAGTTTCTCTCATGCATAGAACATTTTCTTTCCATGATAGCTCTGAATGCTAAGCAGACATCTGAAGAACAAGGAAGATAAATAATTATATTGTACAATTGCAGTTGCCTCAATGACATGTTGCTGGTACTGGACAATAATTAAGGAGCCAGTTATTGGAGGTTATATTGCAAAGTGAAACTCTAATTTAAATGTGTTTGCCTTTTTTGTTTGTCTTATCTTTAGATACTCTGCAATCTCAGCTCATCAACATGGGAGTTATTCCTACATTAGTGAAGTTATTGGGCATCCATTGCCAAAATTCGGCTTTGACTGAAATGTGCCTTGTTGCCTTTGGAAATCTAGCAGAACTTGGTAAGCTTTGGATGCAACATCAATTGCAACATTTTAAGCATTTTTAATGGGGATGTATGGATGGAAAAAATAGTGCTACTGTTGTCATTTGTGTTTTTCTCTAGCAATCCCATTTAATTTTTTTTACTGCTTTCTTGTTACTGACATTCCTATTCTATTCACTGTTCAATAAAAAATACAAAAAATACAAAAAATATTGTACACTGGATAAAAGAACAATGTCCTAAAGAAAAAGCTTCAGTGCAGATTTGTATGATTGGGAATTTACATGCTTGGACAATGATAATAAGGCACTTGAAGTGCATTGCATGCAAGCGTCAATAGAACAATGTTTGATAGAAAAACTTAAGGAGGAAATTAGAAGTGAAAAGACATTTCAGAGTATTGCAGTGGGCAAGGGGATCAAATTCCTCACTGTTACTTGTTGCATTGACTCACATTCTGTGTGATGAAAGAAATTGCTTATGAAATTTTGATGAAATTAAATTCTGATATCCCTGCATTTATTAAATTGCAGGGCACAGATGTCTCCCTTGCTTTGTAATTATCTCTCCTGTGGTTGCATCATTCTTGACTTCCTCATTCACAGCAAAATGGTAGCCAGTGTGGTGCAGTATTTAAGATACTAGTTTGGGAGTGAGAAGATCCAGATCAAAGGCTACCCTTAAGCATAGGAATGAGTTCCTTGCTCCCAACCCAGCCTTTCTTGACAGGAGAGGTATTATAGGGATAAAAATGAGGGGGTTCCCCATGTAAATTGTAATATTAGTCTAACAAATAAATTCAATCTGTTGCTCAAATCTTTTCCTTTGCTTCAGTCATCTTCTGTCTAAGCTTTAAAAAATTTAGTCCACTAAATATTAACACCATCTATGATGGTGGAAATATTTGCCAACTTAACCTTGGTTGCCTTACCACCCTAAAAGGTGTGAGAGAGGTCAGTAAGCCCAAATATTACCTCTGTGCCTTAGGTTAGCAGACAAAGCAGTTCGAGCAGAATACCTACAGTAGATGTTGCTGTTTTGAAATGGAACAAATTTCACCAGTTTATAGCCATGAAAATACTAAGGCAGCGGACCTGACCTTTAATTTTAGCATTTGGTGATCTAATACACCCGTTAGGTAGTTTTCCTTATTTGTCTGAAGGCAGCCAAAGGCTAATTTGCTATGTCTGTGGGTATAATCACCTTTTACTGAGTGCAGTTTCAAACAGTTGTTAATAATTCAGGTCACTAGGTCTTAAATTTCCTAGTCATTTTTCTTTTCATTTAGTGACAGTTTTAAGAAGAGGAGTGTATTATTCCTGACAGTATAGTCAGTGAACTCCATTAATCACTGCATTGTGTGACCTGTTTAAGAAACTGAAAAGAAAATAATTCTGCCATTTGATTTTTGTTCCTTTATGTGCTTAGCTTCTTACTTTTTAATTGCACAGAATCAAGTAAAGAACAGTTTGCCTACACAAATATTGCAGAAGAACTTGTGAAGCTCTTTAAAAAGCAAATAGAACATGATAAGAAGGAGATGATATTTGAAGTTTTGGCTCCCTTGGCTGAAAATGGTGAGATTTTGAGTACCAGTTTTATTTCTGAGTGATTTATTGATATTTCCTTTATTGATATTTGTGAAGCTGGCTGGTGAGGCATCTCATTGTGGAAGCTTGAACACCCTTTATTTATTTAGCTACATATGAATGTGCATACACACAAATATATATTTTAAATCAGTGATTTAAGGAAAAAGGGATGGATTTGGCATGCAGTGGAAATGATTTTTGGTATAGTTACGTATATGAGACTGAAAGAACTCTTTTAAACTTACATTTGTAAGGCTTGCTTTATCTTAAATTTAAGAAATTGGATGAAATCTGCTGTTATGATAAAACTTAATCTTACCAAGTTGTGTAGGACTGAAATCTTATTTATTCATTAATTCCTTTTATTTATTTTGTTGATCAATGCATTTATTTGCAGAAAAGATTGAAAAGTAAACAGTGCAACTGAGCACTTATAAAAGTTTACTCTCATTAGTTTTATGTACAGATAGTCCTCGACTTACAACAGTTCGCTTGGTGACTGTTCAAAGTTACAACGGCATTGAAAAAAGTGACTTATGGCCATTTTTCACACTTAAGACCTTTGCAGCATCCCCATAGTCACGTGATCAAAATTCAGATGCTTGGCAACTGGTTCATATCTATGACTGTTGCTGTGTCCCAAGATCATGTGATCCCCTTTTGCAACTTTCTGACAAGTAAAGCCAATGGGAAAGCCAGATTCACTTAACAAACAGGTTACTAACTTATCAACTGCAATGATTTACTTAACAGCTGAGGCAAGAAAGGTGGCAAAATGAGGCAAAATTCACTTAACAAATGGCTCATTTAACAACAGAAACGTTGGGCTCAGTTGTGATCATAAGTTGAGGACTACTGTTCTTGTATTTTTATTGAAGAAAAAATCTACACTATGATGTTGTAATTTAATATATTGTGTACCATACATGGTAACTTGGATCTTAAGAATCAGAATGTTGACCACACCTTTGAACAGTTTTCTATAAAACTGTTCAAAAAGAGCCATCTACTGTATTACTGAAAGTGATAATGCACTTTTCCTGTCTGTGGATCTTCAAGTTGAGGGTAAAAAGCCACCTGAAACAGCATTTTCTGTATTATGCAAGGAGTTTCCCAGAGTGCTACCAGATTTCTTCCGGCTCTTTGATTCTATGAAAGAGACTGCAATTTACTGATATGGATCCTGATTGATTGATTCGTTGATTGATTTTTAAAGACTTTTATAGCCATAGTAAGCAACAGCTATAAGCAGTATAGCTTATTGTAAACCCCGAATAGCTCACAAAAAATAAAAACAGCTAACTTCCTCTAAAATCAGAATAGGAACTCAATAAAAACTTGATCCCTTCACCGTATGATGAATGTGGACAGGCTCCAGAGCTCTATATGGCTACCTGCTCCTCATTTGTGCATCCCAGATTCCTCTCTTGCTACAATTGCCAGTAATACAGTGGAAAATAAAAAAGGCTAAAATTGGCTTTATATTTTAAAAATTTAGGACTTTTTTTTAAAAAAAGTTTTAAATTTCTCTCTTGATCCCAGAAAAATAGAAAAGCCTGGCCTCCATGCTTCCAAGACCTCCTGTTTCACAGAGCAGAAGTTGGTGGATTTATTTTGAGGTTGTTCTTTCTTGAACAGCATGACTGATGGAGCTCAGTGAGCCAAATAAAACAGGGGGAAATTATTTGCTTGATATTGATTTCTCAGGTACTTGACATTCAGGACTTGTATCTATAGAAATAGGAAGATGCCCAGAACATCTGTTTCTGTTTGTATTACCATAATTCACCCAAGATGCTTTTGCATTATTAAAAAGTATCTTGGGGGAGGGAGATAGCTTTAAAAAAACAGTAATCTTATTATTTTGAAAATTCTCCTGCAAAGCATTTAACAGAAAAATAAATTCTATAACTATTTGTGAGAATCTTATGCAACTGTTTGTCGCCAAAGTGCCTGTTTGTTGATAATGGAATTTAGGCATTGCCTTAACTGAAGTAGTTTATCTATCTATCTATCTATCTATCTATCTATCTATCTATCTATCTATCTATCTATCTATCTATCNCCACCCACCCACCCACCCACCCACCTATCTATCTATCTATCTATCTATCTGTCAATAGAGACAAATACAATATAAAATGTCAAAGCCACTGTCCTGGACAAAATCCAGAGCATAAAGGAATACATCAATAAGACGACACCCAAAGATTGCTTCTGAGAGAATATCTGAGGCAGCAGCAGATATGGGAGGTAAATGAAGCAGAGGAAGTGCCTTGTCAAGACAACACCCTGCATAGAATGGACCAATGACAGATACCTGAAGTGACAGACATTGGGAAATACTCCGAATGGCTGGAAAGGGCTAGACTAAAAGGCAGCACTGAGGCACTGATCATAGCAGCACAAGAACAGACACTAAATGCCAAATCCATAAAAGCAGGAGTCTACCACACTAGGCAGGACTCAAGGTGCAGGGAGACCCCAGAGATAGTTTATCACATAGTAGGAGGGTGTCAGATGCAAGCAGGAATACTATACTGAATGGCACAGCCAAGTAGCTGGCATTGTTTACAAAAACATCTGTTTACAGTATATGGGCTAGACTCTCCAAAATCCAAATGAGAGATCATAGAAGGTCATAGAGAATAAAAGGGCTAAGATCCTGTGGGACTTCCAGACACAGAAGATAGGCAGGTACCAGCTAATCAATCAGACATTGCGGTAGTAGATGAGGACCAGAATACAAGAGTAGATGTAACATGCCAAATGACAGCAACATCAGGAAGAAGGACTGTGAGAAGCTGGAGAATACTAGGCTCTGAAGGAGGAACTGGAGAGGATGTAGAAAGTAAATGTCAAAATGGTCCCAGTGGTGGTAGGAACACTGAGGGCTGTGATTCCTAAGCTGGGATCAACAGATCCCAGGAACGACATCGGAGATCCCTGTCCAGAAGTGTAGTGCTAGGAACAGTTAAGATATTGTATAAAACTCCTAGGCCTCTGGTAGAGGACCTTAGATTGAAGAAGACACATATACCACCCATAGGGGTGGTGAAAAGAAAAACGTTTTATATATTCATTCATTCTTCATACAGCTGCACTCATTTAGTCGTTAAAGAACTTTTAACAGTATCCAAATAAACTGAATGAATAAATAGTGTCTGCACCAATATTGTAGTAAAACATGTTGTTTCATGAGGATGTTGGGATTTTCTCATTCATCATTTAGATATCATTAAACTGCAGCTGGTTGAAGCAGGTCTTGTAGAGTGTTTACTTGAAATAGTCCAAAAGACAGTAGACAGTGACAAAGAAGATGACGTTACTGAGCTTAAAACTGCTTCTGATCTCATGGTTCTTCTACTTTTGGGAGGTAAGTTTGATGTGGGTCACTCCATCCCATATCAGTTATAGGCCACTTATTACATTACATTTGGGGGGGGACATGTGAGTGCTGAGAAGCCAAAAAATATGAAAACCCTAACATTTCTTCCACCTCCAAAAAAAACACAGGCTCACTTTTTTTCATAAACAAGTATTTTTTAAAACCTTTTTCTTGATATGAGGGCTTACTCTGCTGGTTTTATTTGTGTTAGTGAAAATTATAATTAATACAGTTTTCTACTTAAAAACAATACTGAACTTCTACCAGACACAATAAAAAATAAAAATACAGTGCATTTAAAATATTAAAATATGCAGATGTTTATCAGAAACACAAGAAAATATTTCTAGGTTTGTTAAGACTGTGGCAACTTTTGTGTTGCTAGCTTGGAAAAAGAAGTGGATGCACCTTGTCGTGATTTACTACGCAGTAGAGTAGCTGCAAGATTCCAAAAGCAATGTCTGGTTTATAGATGAGAACTTAGAGATGAACCATGGGCAATGTGGATTTTTTTTCCCTCTTTCTGTCTACATATGCTTTTGCTTCCAGATGAATCAATGCAAAAATTATTTGAAGGAGGAAAAGGCAGTGTGTTCCAGAGAGTGCTTTTATGGATTCCTTCTAATAGCCATCAACTTCAACTCGCAGGAGCATTGGCAGTTGCAAATTTTGCCAGAAATGGTGAGAATATTAGTACTTAAAAGTAAAGTGCAATTGTGTTGCTCTGTGTATTTGTGTATCTAGCTGCATTTAAAAGAGTCATATACCAGCCTGTCTTATGTAAAGATTTGTTTTCCTACCTTAGAACTTACATAGCACATGATGAAATGTGAAGTCTTCTAAATATAAAATGAATGATGAAATGGTACCGTTAACTAAAGGGGCAGGCAGAATGCCAGTTGAAATTTTGCTTTCAGGACATGTTTTATTAAAAGTACTTTAATGTTTTAGATGGGGAACAATCTATTTCCACTCAGTGCTGCATTTAACCTTTGAACGGCATGCTAGGATGCAGTTCAAATGCAGTCAATAAATGTAAAATGACTTCATAATATTAGGATGATTGCTCAGATGGATTTAATAACTGTTCTTTTCTGCCAGCTGTCCCCCAACTATCAAAATGGTGATACCTTTTGGAGAAGAATGTAACTTAGAACTTTCTGTACATCTTTGGTTAAAGGAGAGAAAGAGATATATTTTCACTAAAGAAGAGTTACTTCCAAAAAGCAAGCTATGCAAAGGCTGGGTGGGATTGGCTGTATATTTAAAGAAGTAACATCTGGACAAAAAATCCATTGGAAAAATAAGTGTGAAAGCAGATTTAAAGAGGTGCTAGATAAGTACATAGAATACTATTCCAAAATTGCTTAGTTTTTCAATAGTCTACCTCTCCTTTCAAAGAGTCTTCAATTTTTCTACCTCATTAATAGAAGAAAAAATTTCCATTTTTTTCTTGGAGATATTGAGCTTATTTTATTGGAGGGGGCGGACAACTAGTCCTTCTTGTTACACCTCTTTCCACCCTTCTAATGTTTCCCCAACTGAAAAAGCTCATTGAGCGAAGTTTTTCTAAATGTAAAATCTTTGGGTATAAATATATTTGGATTTAATGGAAGACTTGACAAAAGATTGCAAACCTTTTCTAAGTTTAACTAATAATGTCCAAACTATACTTTTAAATTAAATGCTGTCTTGCCATTGGATAAATCCAGGATACAAAAATAGCCATGGTACTTAAAGAAACATGAATTGATGATGGTCTGCCTTCATCTGCAGATGGAAACTGTATCCATATGGTGGATAATGGTATTGTCCAGAAACTGATGGACCTATTGGACAGGCATGTGGAAGATGGAAATGTGACAGTGCAGCATGCGGCACTGAGTGCTCTCCGAAATCTTGCAATTCCTGGTAAGCAACATTCTTAGTGATTCCAAAGTTAGTAGGCTGATGCTTTGCTCTATAAATATCATGTTTACCATCTGTATCTATTTACTGAAAAGAAAATCCCACCTTGTTTTTGGACCTTATTATTCTTCCTGGCTGAAATCTTATCTTCATTTTTCTAATAAGTTATATAATAATGAAATCAAAGAGCTACAGTGGGAGAATACTACTTACAAGTTACCACCTTTAGGAACCTGGTGGCTACCATGTGTATTACAACAACTCCCAGGAGGCCAAACCAGAAGTGCCAACATAATTGAAAGATAATCCTGAAGGAACCTCACCAGTTCACAAAGATGTATAGTTAGAGATTAAAACATAAAATATAGGGATATATATAAACACAACCCCCAACAAGAGCTAATACAGAAATCTCTAGCAAGAGGACGTCACTGCCCAAATGTCTTCTGGAAGTTCTACAGTACATTTTAGACTTCTTCTGGAAAACAACAAAATGAGAACTAGCATAATTTCCACTTATGCTGGTTCTCATTTTGTTGTTTTCCAGAAGAAGCCTAAAATGTACTGTAGATCTTCCTTTGGAGACCACTTTAAAGGAAAGCAGCACCTCTGACCCTTGACTGTCCTCACCTCCCTAAATGGGAGAATCGTCATCAGCTTCTTCTGTCAAGACTGAATTGACCAGGCCGATTGTAACAGGAAAATGCACTCCTATGGATAATCTGGCACCAAGCTTTGGAGGACTTTATAAGTCAACACCAGCATTTTAAACTGCATCTGGAAATCTATTGGTAACCTGTGCTGGCCCACAGCAGAGGTATAATGTACTCCCATTTGTGGAGTAGTAATTCCCCATCGGAAGACATTAGTGGAACACACAGAGAGATCCTGATGGAGAAACAGTAACTCATCTTGCTAAGATTCTCCTATCCAAACTCTCTCAGCCTCCAGGGACGAGGACAGAACTTCAATGGCATCAACCTATTTTAAATACAGTGGGGAAATGCCAGATAATTATTAAATATTGGCTGTTATTATTGATATATGATATAAACTGATACAATATGATATAAACTACTATGGCTTTGTTTCCTTAGTTTGGTGCATTGCGTGAACTCAGCCAATTGCAGCTTATTCAATAAATGACAGTTAACCAAACTATGGTTTAGTATGATGTAAAAGGTTGGCACAGAATTTAGTATGTTCATTTGATAATTAACCAGATCTAATAAGGAATAAGGATTCTTTCAGGTTTTTTTCACTCTTATACCAAATGCATACCCTAATGTTTTCATTCCTTCTCAGATTCTTCTTATTTAGCTCTGAGGAATTACATAATTTCTAGGATTATTTTTATACTTTCTAGGGAACCTTAAGGCCTGTTAGAATGCCAGGCACATAAGTAAATATTTTGTTCACATTTTGTTTTCGATCTTCATTGCACGTAACACAGTTTTTCAAAACAGCAAGATAACGGAGAAGAACTGTAAATGCAATATTAAAATTCCTTCTGAATCTCTTTTAAAAAGCAAACATAAGCTTCAATTCTAGAAACTCTCCACCAGAACGAGCAGCATCTTGTTAGACTGTATTTTAAATGCCAGTTCGCTTCTCACTTTTAATTACAATGCACTATGAAGCAGTGTCTGTCTCCTGCTTTGCACGTGGGGGTGGAATCCTGTGCAGAAACAGAACAGGTGTGGTTACCATGAGCAGAGGAAGAGAGGCACTGTGAGACAGGGGGAAGAAGCCCAGAATCTTCACAGTTTAATCTGTGATGTAAATTGCAAAATATAGTTCATAATGTAAGTATGACAGGTAGAAAGCTCCAAAGGCTGGATTCTTGACTACAAAGTGGAATTCTTGCACACATTTAACTATTCCAAGAGACAAGTATACAGCCATTTATTATGTATTCTATTTATTTGTTAAATTTATTTGCTGCCTCTCTCACCGTGGGGCTACTTTAGGCAGCTTACAATGAAAAGGGAGAAATGAAAAAGAAGTGTAAACATAACAGTAGTAAAGTAATGAAACAATAGAATAAAAAATGAAAAAGAAAACAATGATAGACCAATATCAGAATAGAAGATGAGTCGGTGGGGAAGCAGGGAAGAGTGAAGGGGGAAGGTAGGGTTTGCTATCAATCTAGTGGCTACCTCCACTGTGGTATTCCCCCATTGGGTCCCATTAAGACAGACCACACGTTAAGTCATTCTTACAGAAATACAGAAGAGCCTAATCTTACATATTAAGATAATATGTGGTCAAGCTATGTTAACACAAGCCACTGCTGCTACTGTATGCAGGAAAGCTCAGCAACTGTGAACATACATTTTACACGTTTATTATTGATGTTAATATAACAAGAATTGCCAGACAGAAAGTAGTCAGAAGTGTAGTTAAAATCAGATGTTAGGGTCCTGTAGTGGAGCTGTGGTAGCGAGCTTGGAAGTTAGTAGATTTGGCTTCAGTTCTCTTTCTGTCCCAGCTCGCAGTCAAAAGTGATTCCTTTATTCTACACTTGCTAGGACTGTCATCCATATAAAGAAGCATATTTTCCAACACACACCCCTAGTTCAAGAACACCAGTCAATGCAAACTGTATTAGTTAACATTCGTGAAAAAATTGATTTACTTTTATTTGGATGGCCTTGAAATGTACATTAACAATTATTTTTCTTAATTTTTTCATCCTTTTTACAATTATATTGAATGCAGGATAACTTTTAATTTAATACAGGTTATATATAAAGACTCTGTGGATATGCATGTGGGTTCCTGTATCTGATATGCTCTTCCACTACCCAATCAAAGTGGCAATCAGTCTGGATCTCAATTTGAACATCTTCACCAACTCTCATCCTCAATTGTTTTAGGAAAGAAGAGAACTCCCTGCAAAATAACTTTCCTGCTGTAGTTTAAGTGCATTGTTTCTGCATTCTTCTGAGATAATATCTTTTTTTATTATTCCACAGTTGTAAATAAGGCAAAAATGCTGTCAGCTGGTGTGGCAGAAGCAGTATTGAAATTTCTCAGATCCGAAATGCCGCCTGTTCAGTTCAAGCTGCTGGGCACATTAAGAATGCTAATAGATGCACAAGGTAAAATAAGCTGTTTTCTTTGTTGAACTTTTGATCAGTTGCTTCATTTTTTTTTCCCAGAAGAAGAAAAGGATTTAAAGAAAATCCTTCAAATAAACTGAATGCATATGCAAAAGGAGGACAGTTAATGAACTGCTTCAAGGCCCCGTGTTGTGTATAGCACAACGTTTAAAAGCTTGACTCATCTGTAGATTTAACAATTGTATGACATGGAATGTCATATATGCATTATATATACATTATGATATACTTCTACAAAACCATCTTTTCGTTTTAAATACCTCAGCAAAACTGTGAACAATTTCTTTAATTACAACAAAGTGATTTGAACTCCCACAAGTAATATATACAGAGTTCTTTAATATTTCTGTCCTTTTGATGGTTTCTTTGATTATGTGTTAACAAGTTAGTGTCAACTCTTAATGATCACATGGATACAGTTTCTCTAGAACAGTCTATCAGGTCTTCCAATAATCCAAAATGGTCCAAAACTCACAAGCAAGACTTGTAAGATGTCAGTGTTTATCTTTTGCTTGAAAAGATTGCCATCTGTATTCTTCTCAGTTTGCACTTTACAATTTAACCCTCTAAGAAAAAAGTGGTTAGGTCAGTGGACTTTAAAATTAGGCCAAGGTTCTACATATAACCTCAGACCAAATTCACCATCCTCAGCTTAAACACTGAGCTCCTTTTACCTCCAAGCATCACCTAACAATCTAGTAAAGCCTTTTTGTATGTGTGTGCCTTTGAAGTCAGTGTTGACTCCTGGTGACTGCCCAGACAAGTCTTTGCAGTTTTTCTAGCAAGATTTCAATGGTGGAAAGTTTGTATCTTTCAGACCTGCAAAATTCCATTAATGTAGCCTTACTGCAAAGTAGATTCAAGTTTCCTCTGTGTTTTACCTGGGAGGGCTCAGCCTTGCATGTCTGAAGGTACACTTTTCTTTTTACCACTTTTAACTGTCTGATCAACTAGACTGGGTCTTTTCAAATGTCTTTCTCTGACCGTTGAGTGACAGTGGGCTCCTCCGTCTCTCTGTCATCGTCCAAAGTCATCCGCACATTTCATTACATCCAGCCAGCCTTGTACCTAGTGTTGGACTAGAACTCACAGTCTCCCAATTTCTAGCTTGATGCCTTAACCACTAGACCACTGGCTCACAGTAAAGCCATTAAAGGACATTTGTCCATAGTATGCAATTCTGTAATCAGCTATGGGAATAGCCTTGAAGAACAGAAAAAAGTGACACAATCAGGACAGTGGTCAGATGAAAGAAATTTGAGTCCAAAGCAGAAATGTAATTTGAGAAAATGTCTCAGAATTCACCTTCTATAGTTACCTTGTAGATAAAGGCAGGGAGGGGGAGGCTCTTTCACTTGCAAGATTATGTTACCGTAAACCTATAATAAAAGTACTATTAGTATTTATAATTTTGGTTTCCTAATCTTGTCCACCTCGAAGGTCTGACATCAATTTTGCAAGTCTGCAATTGTCTCCCCCTCCCTTCCTCCAGTTCCTCAAGTTTATTCTCACAGCCCATTACAAATGCATCCCAAGTTCCTCTAAATCAGTAAAGCAGCCATATGTCTGTAGATAAATACACCGACTCTTCAGGCATCGATTCTCACAGAGGTCAAGTACAAAGTGCCATTTGAGAAAACAGGTGAATACTACTACTTCCAAGTGCTTTCTTATATTTACAAAAAGAAGTCCCATAAGTAGCATCTCAAGGGAGGAAGGAGCTCTTCTTGTTTATTTTCTTTTTAAATTAATGTTGACTTTGTAATACATGCAGCAGAAGCTGCCGAGCAGTTGGGAAAGAATGTCAAGCTGGTTGAAAGACTAGTGGAATGGTGTGAAGCCAAGGATCATGCAGGTGTGATGGGAGAATCCAACAGACTACTGTCTGCTCTTATACGACACAGCAAGTCCAAAGTAAGTGACTTGTGCAAAAACTGCATTGCTTGAGGTTTCCTTACCTAACAGTGTGATGCCTGTTCAGTGAGAGAACTGTGCTCCCTGGTTTCACGACTATATTCTTATGTTGGTCCAGATGAGGGGTGCATAATCTTTTTTTGAGGAAAGAGGTGCAGGGGCAGACATGCAGGGGCAGACTCGGAGATAGTGGAGGACAGGGGCCTGGCGTGCTATAGTCCATGGGGTTCAAAGAGTTGAACACAACTTAGGAACTGAACACTACAACAACAAAAATCTATTGCAATAATTCAGGCAGAATCCACCTGGTCCACAATGTAAATAGTCAATTATGTTGCTCTCTTCAATATTGGTCATTGGCCTCCTTACTTAATTAAAACATTAAATTTTAAGGATATTGTTATGAAGAACTCAAGAAGTTTTCTTAAGCAAGGCAAGCAAGCATTGTAAGCTTGACAGCAAATCATAAATAAATTAGTGTCCTTTCCCTGTACAGGTAGTCCTCAACTTACAACAGTTTGTTTAGTGAGTGTTCAAAGTTATAACAGCACTGAAAAAAGTGACTTATGACTGCTTTTCACATTTACGACCCTTGCAGCATCCCCATGATCACATGATCAAAATTCAGACACTTGACAACTAACTCATGTTTATGATGGCTGAAGCGTCCAGGGGTCATGTGATTATCTTTTGCAACCTTCTGACAGCCAAAGTCAATTGGGGAAACCAGTTTCACTTAACCCTAATTTACCAACTGCAGTGATTCACTTAACAACTGTGACAAGAAAAGTCGTAAAATGGGACAAAACTCACTGAACAAATATTTCACTTAGCAACAGAAATTTTGGGCTCAATTGTGGTCGAGAGTTGAGGACACAGTTGCTTGTTGTGTGGCTACATGTGCATTGAATTTTTCACTTCCTGGAATAGTGAGATGGCACGTGATAATTAATCTGACAATAGGCAAGCTTAAGATCTAGCAGCTCTCTACTAATGGTCAGGGTAGAATAGAATACAGCAAACTGATAAAAGGACCACCTGTAGGCATGGGCATCTTTTCCAGTATTCAGTGTGGCAAAGGCTAAGTAACACTCCCTTTGTTTATTACAGCAGTCTATTACAAAAATAGAATGAAAAATTAACAAATTGGCCTGTTGTATTTACCTGTAAAGCACTGCAATCTTGCTTCATATTCTGTTACTTTTGTTTAAGGATGTAATTAGGACCATTGTTCAGAGTGGTGGCATTAAACACTTAGTTATCATGGCAACTAGTGAACATGTAATAATGCAGAATGAAGCTCTCGTTGCTCTGGCATTAATAGCAGCTCTAGAATTAGGTAAGTATTCCAATGGTTAATGTTTTGTAATTTATCTCATCTTCAATGGTGCATGCTAAGCCATGATATTATGTCACTGAGTATCATGTACACATGTATGCCAATGGGTGGGAAGACGCCCTATACATAGCTTTAAATCCTTCCTAGGATTTATCTTCTACTCTGCTACTCAACTTCAATGCCATTCTTTGAGCCTGCCTTAGTTTCTCTGAATTTTTCTTAAAAACATCTGCTCAGAGCATTACAGAGTAATCAAAGTAGAGTCTGTCTATTGTAAAATACAGTGGAATTATTATATTGACTGATCCAAAATTCAGTTGTCTTTTAGTCAACCATTTCATATAGCTAAAATTATCAGGCATAAAAAAACAGGTCCACAAGTGAAGGTTCAGTTTAACTGATTTATTGCTAAAAGCCTATGCACAGGAATCTTCTCAATGGTCAGCACCTGGTTAGATAAGGGTCAGCTGCAGTCAAGGGGAACTCGACTTTGTGACTACATGAGGACTTTAAACTGATCCCTCTTTTTACTCTTCCTCCTGGCTCTGCCATTCCTTCTCCTATAGCAGTGGTGGCGAACCTATGGCACAGGTGCCAGAGGCGGCACTCAGAGCCTTCTCTGTGGGCACGCACACCATCGCCCCAACACCCCACATGACACCCTCACCAGCAGCCCCCTGGAGGAGAGTCGCCCCAGGTGCAGCCTGCACAGAGCAGTGCAGCCAAGGACATGGCAGCCGGGCAAAGACTCCGCCCTCATGCCCCATTGCGTACAGATGATGCTGTGGAGCGCGGACAAAGGGCGTGGATGCCATGACGCTGCTGGGCTGCCTGGGCGATCTGCTGTGGCGGGCCGTGGAGGGTGGTGGATGGCCCTGTGGGCAGGAGAGGCAGGGGTGGGGCAGGGACGAGGTGGTTTTTGGGCACTCGGTCTCTAAAAGGTTCGCCATCACTGTCCTATAGTTATATTCAGATTGTAATGAATTACAATTCTGAGGTCCTTATGTGTTATTACAAAGCTAGATGTTGCACATTTCTATTCCTGTATATTGCATTTCCTTTTTACAAGCTTAGAATTGTGCATTTATCTTTATTCAATTACATCCTGTTTTTGTCAGCCCAGATCTCCAGCCTATCAAGATCACTTTGAATTTGTTTTCTGTCATCTCACGTTTCAACAGTCACTCTATTGAAGAAATCAGATAAAACCCAATACTTATTTCCACAGAGTTATTTTGTTTACCATTTATAATGAGATTTAAAACTGTGATACAGCAATTAGTTTTTACTATCTTATGTTATACATAGGCAGGTAATGGGAGTTGAAGCCAACAGTATCTTGTTTGTGTGTCAAGATTTGCAAGATGGGCAGAGTGCCATGATGTATGCTGTACCCCTTTGTACACATGTGGCACACTTGCAAAATGTGGGACTTGTATTGACATTGTTTCCTAATATAAGACAACTAATACTATTGCTGTCTCTATCTCTCTATCATCTCTCTGTTTATTTGTCTGTCTATCATCTATCTATAATAAAATCGGTTCCTAAACCCTAACTTTTCAGAAGTTGCACCAATCTTGGATTCCAAGATTTCGAACCAATCTTGGAGTCCATAAAATATTTTGATTGCTTCCATGTGCTAGCTGGAGATCTACAGCTTCAATTTCTCTTTGCCAGTTTGTGGAGGAGAGTTTGTGCCACCTGGCCTATTTCTGTGTATCTTGAGTTGAAAAACATTGTTCTAAAATGTGAGTTATCCTACCCAGTATTGCACCTTCTGCAAATTCAAATTTAGTAAGCATTTCTTTTATCTCTTCTCCAATTCATTTCTAAAAATAAACACAGGCCAGTCCTGTGGTACATATCTTATCCCAGTTTAATAAGGAACAGATAAAGTAATGTTCAGTAGTGTGAGTACATTTTCTTAGCCATCTGTGAAGCCATCTAAGAAGATACGCCATCCAGTCCATACTTAACTAACTTCTTAATGAGAATATCATGTTCCTTCTCAACACACACATACACTAAATTGCAGAAAGCAAGCATCTGCAGTATCTGATTTACAGTTCTCCTCTGTTTGAATTCACAGCCACAGCAGAGAAAGATCTTGAAAGTGCACAGTTAGTGCAGATTCTACACCGGCTCTTATCAGATGAGAGAAGCGCACCAGAAATCAAGTACAATTCCATGGTGCTGATCTGTGCACTTATGGGGTCAGGTGAGTTTTCCCAAGTTTTGTTTCATGTTTGTTTTGTTTCAGTCTTTAAGAGCAAGAATGGGTACATACAACTAACAGCACACATAAATATACACACAGAATATTCATTTTGTCAAACTGGGGATAGTGGCAATTTCTGTGACAGTTTAAATTTTGTTAAAGTTTATTGAATTGAAAGTGCAATAGTGGGGAAATCAACTCTATGGCAATTAAACACCTCATGTAAAGTTCTCTCTCTCTGTATATATATTTCCCAAAATCCTCTCTGGGCAAAAAGAAATCTCTCCAGGCAGAACTTCTCTAAGACTAGAAACCTAACATATTCAGGAGGTGGGGGGAGATTTACCAGCATCACCCTTGTAAGTTTTTTCTATCTGCAGTAAAAAAAAAACCTGTAGCATGAAGTTGAATGGGTCCAATTCTTGACATGGAAGGATACTTTTCTAACGGTCATTGCCACTTATTACAGTGGCAAAAAGGGAAAAGAAATAGTCAAACTTTAAGCTTGTCACGTTTGAACAGAAGATAAAAGCAATATATTATGTGAACAAATCACACTCCAGTTATTAAATATGTGATAAGAATTCATACCATGAAAAAGCATTTGGAATTTTTTTCCAATTACTTCACATTCGTTTAGTTTTGAAATTTGTTGCAAAGGAGACAAGGAAGTTCTAAGTATTTATTAAAAGTTGGTTAAGGAAAGCATGTTAATTTCTTGTCTTCCATTTCACCATTAACTTGCTAGTAGTTTGTAGCCTCAGTGGCTTCCCACATTTTCCCATTAGACATTTCTTACTGGAAAACATAGGCAGTCCCAAAAGCTAGAGATCTGTCACCTCTAATAGTCAAGCTCCAATACAATTGCAAGAGAAATTGAAAGAAATACTCAAGACTTCTGGGAATAAAAGAAGATTTTAGCACAGGATTATTGACAGTCGTCTTTCTAAACTACTTATCTGATATGTCCATAATAGCAAATAACTGAAATCTAGTTGTAGATTGTCCATGTATTAGAGGAGACTGCCATCCTGTGTGTAGTTTCATGTTAACGCTCGGACCCAGTATAATGTGAAGAAACAACATAGGACTGAAACAGCAGCCGCTGACATTTTAAAAGCCCCCTCCACCCCCTCCTATATTGTCATCTTCACTTTCTCCTTCCTAGCGATGAAATTAAAGCCCTTTTTTTTTCCCTAGCCGGACTTTTCTAAGCCTGCAGCTTTCGTGGCTATGCAGTTCAGGAAGGAAAATTTGTCTCCTTACACTCTCCATAAAATGGACAAATATTAGTTGCCTCTTGACCTACCACCTTTTTGTCAAAATAATTAGCAGAGTTCTTTTTCCGTTATCTTTATAATATCACATGTGTATCTATAGAAACATACAGAGAATTTTAGACTGTGGATGTGTCAATTTCAACAGCTGCTGCTGCTACTTTATCTTTCTGGGCTACAGGATTCAGCGGTGATGATGCTATTGCCTCTGCTGTTCCTCTTCCCAACAGGCACCTTAGGTTTGAAAAAGATAATCTAATGGTAAATTTAGCATAAAGTTACACTGCCCAGGGTCACACCATGAGATGGGCAGTCTAAATTTGATAAATAAATAAGATAAAATAAGTAGGAGGAAGTGGAGCATTCAGCCTTTGTAATCAATGCTGCATATAAAAATGAAAGAAAAGGCTCAAATCCTTCATGCAGCAAAGTGAGACTGGTTTGCTGCTAGAACCTGTTTATGCTGTCAAAGGAACACCTGCAGTGAATATTAAACTGTCCTGAGAACAAGAGGCATATCTCGATGTGGCTAAATAGTCTAGGCCAAAAAAAGACTTTCCATTCAACTCTTGGGTAAACCAAAAGGCTTTTGACTCTAAGCTGGTTTCTTCCTTCCATGGTGACACAGGAAAGAATCAGTATATGGAGACTGATGGAAAAAGGTGAATATGAAGATTGGCAGGAAATCAAGAGCCAAAACGAAGGCAGGGGAAGCAAGAATTACAGAAAGCTGTAAAATTGATTCCAGTCCAGTCAAAGTGAAATCACCACCTAAAGTCATGTGGTCTTTCTGGCAATAATTTGGGCAGTCTAGTTTACAGGTCTAGGATTTTCTGATGGCTTTCCATCTAAGGCAGGGGTAGTCAACCTTGGCTCTTTTATGACTCGTGGACTTCAACTCCCAGAATTCCTGAGCCAGCTAAGCTGGCTCAGGAATTCTGGGAATTGAAGTCCACGAGTCATAAAAGAGCCAAGGTTGACTACCCCTGATTCTAAGGTGTATAGCTTTACTTGGCTTTTTCAGATCAGGCAGGGTTGGTTAGGCGCTGCTTTGTGGTTGGCATATAGTTTTCACTTGCATAAGTACATGTAAATTTGCAAGTATACAAGAGCACGCTTATCTTACGTCTTGGATTGATTGCAGTTGTCCTGGTTTTGAGCATTAATCCAGACAGCCCAGTTGCTTCCCCAAAAAGTCCCAGGAAGTTGAGCTACAGTATTCCAACCAGAAAAGATGGATCGTATCTTCCAACTTGCTGCAGAGGACAAACAAAAAGCAAATTCAAATAGCTAAACCTGCTTTCCCCTTTTGCAGATCTTACATGGGGGGGGGGAATCATTTGAAAGAGAAAAAATGCCCATACTCTGTGCCTTTATTTGCATAGGCACCTGAGGTTGGGTCCTTCCAATCAAACCTGACCCTTAGTGATTTCATGGACATATCCATTTACTTTTCTTGGCAATAATAAATGGCTTGCCATTGCCTTCTTCCAGAATTGTTTTGTATATCCCACTTAGCTTTTCTTCAAGATCGTTCAGGATCAACCTACTGCTTTCTTGAGTATTGTGAAAGCAGAGGCAGCCTTCTTTTGGCAATGATGGTCAAAATTTACCAGCTATCAGCACACTTTTTCATTTTAGATATAGACTACAGCATGGATGCCAGAGTCCCCCCCCCCCTTCCCTCCCCATTCCAAGAATATGTTCTTCAGCAAAATAAGCAGTAATATGGGAAGGCAAGTTGACCTGCTTGCAATCTTGAAAGTTTTCAACTAATAAAAAGCTGAATTTCCACATGCTAAATATTCAGTGTAAAGGGCTTGCGCACTGTGCCATTTTATCCTCTGCTGATTGCAGTTCTTTAATCAAGCTTTCAACTTATTCTGTCATCCAATCTGATGCCTTTTCAGTTTCCAAAACACATCATTCGTTATCTTAAAATTAAGCTTGGTCCCAATTTCTGCAAATCCCATGATAGCTATTTTAACTTCAGTAAGTTCCAAACCATTAAGATGCCTGTGGCATCAACTGAGCTTTTATCCTAGTCTGCCATACAAACATAGCCTGCAAATGGAATTGGTCTTTGTGGCTAAATGAAGCCGAGATTAGCATAACAGGAGCTACATTTTCTCAAGACAACAGCTCCAAACACCTGCTCTGTCTGGTACAGGCAAGACTGATTGGGAAAACTGAAGCCCACACATCAAGAAGATAACCAGCTCTGGTTAGACTTTGATTCAGGCCAAAGATAGATTGTAAGAAATGGGTTTTGGTTTTTTGTCTCTTCTGGCAATAGCTCCTAGAACATAAGCTTGTGTACATTCTTAGTAGGCTTCTGGAATGGAAGCGCTTCTTTTTTCTCAGATTGTTCCTTTGTTTATTTCCCTGTCTCTATACAATTTAAGGAATTGGAAAGAGCAATTTGCATTGAGCTGCTTGAAAGATGCCACTTTTTGCTCCCTTCCGTTTTTCCCTACCAGCCAAGTGGTGGTTTGATAATATCTGCATTCATTTCAGCTTCACAGCAAATGCAGACAAAAGAGCAGCTGTTCCCAGAATGGCCCAACGGGGAAGTAACAATCTTACCTCTGTTTAACAGAATCTCTTCACAAGGAAGTGCAAAGCCTGACTTTCCTAGAAGTCGTATCAAAACTCCGCAGCCACGAGAACAAAACGGTCGCCCAGCAGGCTTCCCTCACAGAGCAGAGACTCGCTGTGGAAAGCTGAGGAAGGGGGCGCCAGTTCCACATTAGCATCATGTCACTGACCTCACCTCCTGTCCTGTCCTGCTGCTGTTACTCCAGCCGTGTTTTTTCCACCGTCACTAATGCATGCGTGTAACATCCCCACACCACACTGTTATAGGTACCTCTCTAAATAAGATTTCTAAAACACCCATAGCCAATTGTCATAGGATCCTGTCTTTCTTATCCACACAGCAGACGCATACATGCAATCTGCAGCCTTGTTGTCGTTCTCCTTGTATTCTTGTTGCTTGGGCCACATACTAGAATGTGCATGTTGTAGTCCTGTAATAATGTAAAAGTGGTACAACCGTGATGACACCTCCCCTCAGACTCCCTACTTCCTCAGTAGAGGCAGCAAGACGGTTGAGATGAGGCTTGGGAGCACACCTCTCTTTTTGCTGCTTTAGATATGAAAGAGGGAAGAGGGAAAGAAATCTTGCTGCTCATTCACTGGTCTTGCCTACTAATGTCAATCCTGTGGTACCTAGAGATAAAACCAATAAAATCCAGTGCTCTCACACTTTTCCCTGTGGTTTGTCTTTGTATCCTGGTTTATTTTCAGGGAGCCTTCAAAAACTAGCTGTGTGTTGTGGAAAGCTGTACCAGTAGGGTACATGTGCATCCTAAGTACTGTTGCCTACTTCTCTCTGCCAGTATTTGAACAAATACACAAAATACACTGCTCTCCTTCAAAAACCTCCATTGTCTTGTGCCACACCGTGCCTGTTTTGCTCTTGTTCTACATAAATGCAGAGCACTGGGGATTGTTTCCAAGCTTTTGAAATGAGGCTGAAGTCTGCCAGTAGCTTTAATTCACTTTGGACTAATCTAAGCAACAGCTACTTGGTTTGAGTGCTGCAGCAACCTCAGGTTGGGATTAAAGTATCTTTAAAAAAAGCTATAAGTAAACCTCAAATGATTTTATAATCATCCTGACCCTTAGAAAGTCAGCTACAAGAGGGAGCCGGATGTCATGTGTCTGATTAACAAAACACTTAAAGGGACTTTCAGGCATATTTCTATCCTAAAAGCATTTATTAAGGTTACAGAGAAGATGTGATTTACTTCTGGTTTCTTTTTTCCGGGCTTTCCTTATTCTCCTCCCCTTTCACTGTTGCTTGATTTAACTATAAAAATACCAGACAGTTCTGCATATTGTCAAAGCAAGAATATACAGTATTTGCAGCGTTGGCCCCGGGATTGAGTCAGTAATACGTTGTTAAAGAGTATTTGTGTTTGTATGGACATTAACTAAAATTGAGATTAAGAGGCGAAGCGGTAATTTACATATTTATACCAGATCCTGCAAAAAGGAGGCATGCTACATCAATAGGTCCTATCTAAGTATCCTTAATTGTTTTTTTTACCTATGCAAGAGCTCCTTTCAGTCAAATGGTGGGGATACTTCCACTAACTCAATCTTTTTGGTTTGACGGAGAAACTATAAGAATGTACATTCACAATTACAACATTTGAAACCTGACCAGGTGTTCTATTCTGGAGTGCTTTTAAACATTAGGTATTTATGGAAGAATCAGGAACAATTGTATTTTCCTAAAGAGCCTTAATTCTGCATCAACAGTAACCCAGTATTTCAATTTATCTGGTTTCCAAGTTTTCAACAGACATATTTTCTTTTGCCTATTTATACATCTAGTATCTCAACAAGCAGGTGATCTATCTAGCATCTGCCAAATGTTTTGAACTTCAGTTTTGGTAGGTCTCAGCCAACAAAAGAACTAACAAAGATTTCTGGGAGTTCTGATCCAGAAATCTAATGGAATATATTTGTATGTATTGCAAATGAAAACAAAGATTCTTGGATCTAAATTATATGACTTTTTCTTTACAAAGAGCTATTATGAACAAAGGAGCAATACCCATCAGAGATTCATAAACCACAAATGCAGTATTTTATCACATTCCATCTCAGCATCTGTTTATTTTCTCACACATCCAGTGAAATGTTTAAGCGAAACTTTTATATATGTGAGAACAAGGAACAGAGCCAAAGTGTCACTCCATTTTATTTGTAAAACTAATCATACTAACAAATTGCATATAAAATGATTTATTTCAAGTAAAATACAGAATACTGCACAACTAGTAAAACTATGTTCATAAATGTATTAAAACATTCTGAAAATTTGTTTCTGTTAAAAAAAAGACAAAGAGCATGATGAATCTCACTTTCAATACCTTAAAAATTAACACAAAATAGTGGTGTTAATTTCATGTAAAAGTTCAATTTTGTCCACTGAAAGCTGCATGGCTACTATATACCATATTCTACTGTGAAAGAAATGATAAATTAGGTAAAATATATTCACTTCAAGATGAAATAGGAGCATGTGGGAGTGAGATGACACAATCTCAGTCAAGCTGTACAGGCATGCACTTTCCTTGTAACAATACTTTTCATTATCAGTAAGTGTAATTGGCATTTACAATCAATTCAGCAATGCACAAGACTTTCCACACAGGTAAAGTACATTCAAATATAGTAAAGGGTAGGGGGAACCACAATGGTAACTACAGTCATTGCTTTCATTGTGACATGCAATGCTTTAGAAAAGAAAAGGTTGGAAGTTAATGTAGCATACCTAAACCTGACATAAGTCATCCTCAATCTTCAGAAAATAAACAGAAATACTTGTTGCTGGTAGACTTCTGCTATGCATGGCAGTTCTAACTTTTATGGTCATTTACACCCTGAATTAAGTTTCCAATCGGGATACCTCTAGGAATGTTGGAAAGGAATTCTGAGAGTTTAAAGACTTGCTGGAGAACGCTGTTTTCTATTTTTATCTAAATTGATTTCATAGGACTGATTCTGAGATTTAAATTATGTTCCCTAGGCAGGTCTTTCTGCATTTCTTGCTCTATCACTGCACAAATATCTACATTAACATTTCCATTCTGACAAGGTGAATCTGGGATATCCTGTACAATACTTAAGGGTGTGTCTCCTCTTTCTGTGAGATATGCAATTAACAGGCATCAAACAAGAAAGAGTTATACATGAGTAAGGGTAAAACCAACGTATACCCATACTGAAAATTCCATGTTTCTCATCCATGATGTAGCCTACAGTGTTGGAAAAAAAGAGCACAGGAATATAGGAACAGCATCTTCAACCTGGATTAGATGTCTCTAGAGGGCCTAAATTTTTTTCCTGTAACATTCAGGAGACAGAACCTGAAGCCTACAATCCAGCTATAAATATTCATATATCATCTAATTTAATACAACCCCATTGGGAAAAAACGTATTAAAACGGGCTGTTTTGCTCATAACACCTCATTCTTCCTTTAGACTGTGTCAAGTTCAGGAATTAGTCTTCCAAATGAAAATGGAGAGAACAATTTCCACAGAGTAAGCCCATTAAAAGTCCATTCGTGTTTAAAAAAGAAGTGGGCTGCAGAGGAAAACTATGGGCAGGATTGTGGAATAAAGGTCAGTCTGCCTTAAAATGCATCTGCCCTGGGTTTTGAAAAGGTGGTGTGATGTTTTCTACCTGTCTTCATGAATCAAGCAAGTTGCCTTCCCTGTGACTTTCTCAGCCATAAAATGCACATATAAGAGTTATGTGCCAAAATAAGCCAAGGCAGAAATGTGAAAACATAAAAATATATTCTAAAGACGCTTCACTTTAAAAGACTAAGGGAGAACTATAACGTGCCTACAAGCATCAATAGTTGACAGTGAACCACTGAAGAAACTGAAATAGCATATTATCAAGAGAAATCTGCATCCACAACGTAAGACTTGAGAAACTTTTGGGGTCTTACAGAACTAAGTTGTATCATCAATGGGAAAGATAAAAGGCACACAATAAGCAACTCCAGCAAAATATCGTGTGGCCCAAGACGAGCCCATGGCTGGGCAGATATAAAATTTTATGCCTCCATTGTTTGAAAGCTGAATTTCTCCCTGCTGGACAAGATTACTGAAGGGGCAGAAGGAAAGTAAAAACACCACTTTGGCATGTTTAAGTTGCCATTCTGTTCCTCAGGAAAGCAGCCACAGTGAAAAACTGAAGTATGGGAACAGGATACATGGATATGTAGTCAGTTCAGAACAAAGACAGCAGGCTTATTGAGCCATCCAATATATTTTATCAAATGTATCACTAAGCAAGCAATTGAAGACGCTATGCCCGGAATATCCTCATTCACATCCCTTTTTTTGATAATGGTGACCAGTGAATATTTTTTTTTCCTGGGTTACTAAGAACAGAAACCACTGTATTTGTACCAGTTTACAGTTATATTCATTGTCAAAAAATAATAAAATGTAAATATTCAAAGGTACTGAATTAAAGTAACAAAAATTTTAAAGATTCTTAATTTATTAAATTGCAGAAATGCCCAGCAAACACTAGATGGCAGCCTATTAAAGCAGTTTAAGTTCCAACCAATAGATAAGCAAAACATTTATGCCTTCAGGTGCTTTGGAGAATACCTGAAGGCAGGACAAGCAACGAATGGAAACTAACCAAAGAGAAAAGCAACCTAGAACTAAGGAGAAACTTCCTGACAGTTAGAACAATTAACCAATTTAACAACCTGCCTCCAAAAGTGGTAAATGCTCCAACACTGGAAGTTTTTAAGAAGAGACTGGACAGCCATTTGTCTGAAATGGTATAGCGTTTCCTGCCTGAGCAGGGGGTTGGACTAAATGACTCCAAGGTCCCTTCCAACTCTATTATTATTTAAATGAATGGGATTTTTCAATTTTCTCAAAATATATATTAATATGTGTAAACCTGTGCAGGAATGATTCCACAGTTGTGCTATTCTTTACATTTCTGAGATGTACACACCACTGGACTATATAAAGACTTATCTAATTTAAAGAAACAGGAATTGGCTTGAAAATGATGACAAAGCAAATGGATTTCCAGAGATTCAGACCAGAAGTTAGGAGAGGAGTTCGCATATTTCAACCAAGATGGATTTGGCAACACAATACAGTTTATAGACACTGCCATTTCTTCAGAAAAAGCTTGGACCAATAATAAAAATCAAAATAGTCAACAATCTTTCAGAAAAAAAGATTTACAGAATTTTCTAGCAAAGCCACTCCCAAAAGTTGTTTGTATAACATAGGATTAAGCCACTACTATACAAATGTCACGATGTGATATGTAGGGAGATCTAGCAGCAAGCAAACACATTGATACACACATTCTGTAAAACATAATCCATAATGTATGTGCAATTTGTTAGGTGGGCATGAAGCACAAACTTGCTTGACACGTGTACTGCAATCATTTGAAGGGGTTCTTTTGACTCTTCTTGCCAAAAACTACAGTACTATTTAGTACAATTATTAGAAAAGATGTGGAGAGAAAAGACATGAACAGCAGCTACAAACTTTAACTTCTTAACATTTAAGCATTAACATTCAACATTAAGCATTTACATCCAAACTGACACATACTAAAACTTGCAAAGCTCACACTGAAGAGTTGCTGCATTCAAGCATTTTCTGTTCCTAAATACTTGCATGGTGCTGGTTGCTGGAAACTCCTCTAAATTCCTTCTCCCCACTCTAATAAGCATCTGAAAACTGCTGTCATTTGATATTGAATTCTCTTGCTCTTTAAAAACCCCTTCATCTTTTCGAAGAGGAAAAAGGGCACCTGGAAACATGAATACTGTACATCTATTTAGTGCAGGGGTGTCCAACTCCCAGAATTCCCCAGCCAGCCATGCTAGTTTGGAAATTCTGGGAATCGAAGTCCACGAGTCTTAAAGTTGCCAAGGTTGGATACCCCTGGTTTAATGGCAATGACTGTTGCCTTTATTCCAGTTTGTTGATTTCTCCATCACTCACTATTTTACAGTATATCCTTTTCGAGACCAGCTTATTTGAATTGAGAAAGCAGACTATAACCCAAATTTACCAATATATCAAGTTTTATTGTGGGGCTTGGTCAGAAAATTCCCTCTTGCAAACATGCTTATATGTACTGCTTTTTCCTTGTGACATTTAATATAAATTTGAAAAGAAAGCTACAAAATACAGGTAGTCCTCGAGATACGACAGGCCATTTATTTGTTTGTAAATTTTATTGGCCACCCATCTTACCACAGGGTAGAGCTGGACGGCTTACAATCGTAAACAAATAAAAACTACAAAACCTAAAAGACATAAATAAAATACTGTAAAGATCCAATTACTGAGCCCAATTAAAAGAACGTTGATTTAACAAATGCTCCAAGTTACTACAGACCTGCCCCCATTCCAAAAGCTATATATGACCCCCATGCCAAAGTTACAATGGTTGCTGTAGCCCTGGACTTTGGTGCTCCCAACACAAATGTAATTGTAGTAACAGCGGCCCTGCAATCATTTTCCTTGATGACCCACTACAGGGTCCCTGCAGCGCCCTTCCATGTCTCTCCTCCCATCCCACCCTGCTGGAACCCTGCAGTGCTTGGGCCTATTCCACATGCCCCCCCCACTTATCTTCTGAAGCTCTCCAGGGCTCACGTTGTGAAAGGAAGACAGGCTATGTGTACCTGGGTTGTGTGGCAGCAGCTGCCAGAAAAACTGCTTCATTTTGCTATCTTAGCCAGGTCTGCATAGTGCTGCAGAAGCTTTTTGTTAAGGCAGCAAAACAAATAAGTTTGTCCCAGGACACTGCAGTGGTGACCCAAATGTGGCTGCCACTTTGGTGATAGGAGAAAATGACAAAAGCTTTCACAATCGTGTCATGTGGCCATGCAAAGGAGGTAGTCATTTCGGTACTCTGGAAGGCCTCGTAGTACTTCAAAAGGAGAAAGGTATTTGGCCAGTGGAGGAAGAGGGGGGGTCAGACCTAAGGCCTGGGAGTACCCAGTGGGAATGGGAAAAGGCCTGTTGGGACACAGTGGAGCATGGGGCGTCTCGGAAGTGAGGGGAGCCTTGGGAGGGCCACGGCAGGTAGGACTGGCCCTGTGCTAGGCCTCCAATGGCTTCCCCCACCCAACTCCACTTAATGACCCACACGTTCATTTAATGAGTCATTAGGGACAGCAGGGGTGGGGGGGTCATTAGGTGAGACGTTTCACCTACTATAACTGCGGAGACACGCAACTGTAATGGGCAGGGTCCTTTACTGTCATATCTCGAGGACTACCTATAGTATTTCAACACTCTATACAGATATAATCGGCACCTATTTTATTACTTCAAAAAACTTTACTATATAGCTGTAAAATTTCTATGGTACAAAGATTGTAGCTTTTCATTAGTTAGGGCCTATTAGTAATTAAATTCTATTTACCAGATAGAGCCTCTGAGATTAATGTTTAACTGGGGGTACTAGAAGTGGGTAAAACATTTCTAATTCAAAATATTTTAAGCTAAAAGAAGTTTGCTTGGGCAGGATGTTTCATGCTTGAAACAGGGTCATTTCCAGTTCTGGACAATTTTGGTAAGATTATAAAGGTTTCTCCCTCTAAACATTTCAAATTCAAAATGTTTTGCATTACCTTTTGGAATGGGCATGTCCTATGAGAAAGTTATTTGAAAGCTGTCTCAAGCTCACCCTTGTTTTAAAAGCAAATATGGGATTCTGGAAGAAATATGTGAATTATAATCATGCATAGGCAAATAGAAGGCAAATACATACCCAATAATTAAAATTATATTATCTCTTTGCAACAAGGGACAAGACCAAGGCAAAGTAAGGACGGAGCTATTTTAAAAAAATAAAGAGTTCCTGGTTTCCTGCAGGACTCCAAGAAATAAACATGCTTTGTATGCAAACAAAATGATTGCCATTTTTCACTTTCTATATAAAAATGTTATTAAGCTTAATCACCACTGGGACGAAGAAGACAACCTCTTAATGCTGTACAATCAGTAAGACATTTCAACATCTTTTACCAAAAGATAGAATGATATGCCTAACCACATATTTTGTTCCATTAATAAGAAAACTTTTATCACTATAATATGATAGTTTACCCATCTATCAGTTATAAAACAGCTTGGTAATGGAAGAAAAAAAAATAACAGGAAAAGAGAAAGGAAAACAAGGGTTAAACATCTGAAGCACTATTATATCTAATCAGAAACATGGAAAATTTTTCAGAAATGTAGAACAGCAGCAAAAAGAAGGAATGTTTATTCAGTACATCTTATAGTATCAGGATCTTTTATGTTTGGTTTCTGGAATGTTCCACAACTAAGCTATTCAAGTCCTAGAGATTCATAAAAAGTCATTCAGTTTTCATCCACTGTACGTTTTATTCAGCATTGTTTGTTTCCTTCACTTAAGCAATTCAAGGACTAAAAACTAAGAGAATCTGTTCACTGAATGAGACTGACACAAATATAACTTCCTTGTGTAAATGAGCCTCAGTTACCCATTCTAGGACCCTGATCAGAACTCAGTTACCTAGACAAAAGATCATGTGAAGTCATACTAGACCCAGTTAGAATGTTTAGCTCTGTGTACAAAATGGGAGAGTTGAACAAGACATTCATGCATTTACTTGTTTTCCTTTTCAAATTAGGGCAGCATTCCACCTGGTGCCTATCAATGGTAGCTGTGAATTCTTGGAGTTGTACTCCTAACATTTCTGGTGACACCAGGTTGGAGACGTTAATATTTTTAAGTAGCTACTGCACACCAGTAGAACTCAAATACTGTATTTATCTTTTCCATGTTCTACTTCATTTAACAACAATTTTCAATCACTCCAAATTTGAAAAGATTGTCATCTCTCCACTGCCAACCCTGAAAAAAAGAGTGGTATTAAGCCCAAATTCATATCCTTAACAGCCAAATTCAGATTGCTTTTCACAGGCATCATAATTTTCTTTTTCATTGGTAGTTAAATATATATAAACACCTAAAACAGAGGTGTCCAACCTTGGCAATTTCAAAACTTGTGGATTTCAACTCCTAGAATTCCCTAGCCAGCATTGGCTAGGGAATTCTGGAAGTTGAAGTCCACAACTCTTGAAGTTGCCAAGGCTGAACACTCCTGACAAAAAAAAACCTAGATGCTCCTTACATTTACTGAAACTGACTCACAATGCTCTCATTAAAATACACAAATACACTCTTCTATCCAAATGTTGTTCCTGCTTGAAAAATGAGAGAGAGGTACATATTTCATTAAGGATTCTATTTTAACTGACAGAAAAGGAAATCTAATGGAAACTAAATGGTAATGAAGCCAGCGCAAAATGCAAACCAAAGAACGCAAATTGGTCGGCATTTCATTTATGTTTGTTTGAACTGGAAGCCCACTCAAATCCAGCAAATCAAAAAGGAGTAGCAATTCTTAAAAGTTTATACCAACTCTATGAAGAGGGCATAACAAGATATACTTAGAAAGGGTTATCATGGGACAAAAAGCATTTGCCCTATTATAGTATGAAGTAAAAATATCAAAAACTATTCCAAACAGGTTTGTTTCTTTAGAATTCATTTTATCCATGAAACTGAATATGCTGTGCTTGTTTCTGCTTCTAAGTTCATCGTTATTTCTCAATCTCATCATCAAATCTCTCAGCATGAATACCTTCATCTCTTCTTCATTTACATATTGCTAACGACTAATACAGATGGAGAATTATCTCTATTTTAGCTCTTTCCTGAAGTTTGCTGATTCCACAGTTCCCTGTCCAGTGAAGTAAAGATTGCAAGAGGTTGGAAAATAATTAAAGCTGTTGTTATTCGACAGAGGACGTAATAGAACAGATACTGAATTTCCTGTGGAAGAGTGATGATTTTTTTGCCAGAAAACAAAGCACATGTGAAGTAGATAAATAGTTGCCTCTTCGTGGGATTTCTTCCCAAAGAAACGTTAGGTCTCTCGGTCACTTCTTTAATGGCAAAAGGAAATTACCTCATTGAGGGTCTGCTGCAACACAGAAAACAAAAGGATGCATCTACTGAGGTTCCATTGACACAGACCACTTGCCACACACACATAAGAAACGGAAGAAATATCCTCCAGTTTACTCAGTCAAGGATACAGTAGAGATTCATGGCTCAGTACATTTTAGACTGGCAGTTTTTAATAGCATTCATCACAACTAGGTGGCTGGAGCTGCTCATTGTGGAATAAACAAAGGTGTGATGCTGTTTTAATCAGCTGAGAACTTAAAACTTCTCAGTCACCCATTTTCACATAGCTTTGAGTCCATGTGGGCCACATGGAGCCTTCTGAGAACTGTGGTTACCCACAAGATCTTGTGTGGGTTACGTTAAAGAGTTTTTACCAACTGGCTCGGACAGCTTCAATATCACTAACCAAGTTTTGAGCCAAGCATATGCCAAATATCTGGAAGAAAAGAAATGCACATGTTAAGCTGGAACTGACTTTCAAATGCAGAAATTTGAGTTAGCCAGACAAAAATTTAACACCCACAAAATTTAACATTGATGGCTACCATTTACCCATTAAAGTTGAAATGGCTTTCCCTTGTTAAACATGTTTCACTCAGGTTTTCTGGGACTCATAATACAAATTAACCATTGTGGCTGAGCGTGCAGAACATGTTGGCCTCAAGTATTGTATGGCTGGCCAGTCTGAAGTTGAGTGTACTATGCAAATACAATCACATTTACTGTGAAGTATTAAGTATTCCATCATGAAGTAATTGGAGGGAGGGGAGAACAATCTTTAATATGGGAGAGGAGTGTATAGTATTCTCAGAATTGTTCTGGGAACAGGAGCTCTGAAAATGCAGATGCAGGTGATACTTTTAAGTTTTTAAAATTAAGTTTTAAAGTTAAGTTTTAAGAGAGATTAGATTTCAACAGCGCAGGGTTTACAGAACAATAGAGAATACCTGGAGCAAAAGATTTTCCTACTGCTATGAATAAAAATAGGATACCAAATTGAGACTACTCACTACTCACCTAATTGGTCTTTCAGCTTACTTTGGAAGTCTACTAGAGAAACAGTCCCACTAGGTTTGGGCAAGCAAAAAGCAAGCAGCATCAGTTCCATCATAATTTGCAGCAAAATATGTATAATTTATTCTGCATTAACCAAGTTTATTACAAGGCTGAAATCAATAAAACCCAAATGTACTTTCTTTTTTAAAAAATAAATTAATTAATCAATTACTCTATACACAGAGATTCAATTTTCATTTCACCCTAGGGGGTCTTTCTTGAGTATGGATTATTCTCTGGAGTTTTTCAAAAGAACAGGTCACCTGTAATAATGCAATTCCAATGAATATGCCGGCTACTATGGTCAAGTTGTCCTGCAGCCATTTCTCAAACTGTGGGACACAGCCTTTTGTGTAAATAACAATCTGTTGATCCACTTCCTGCAACAACAACAAAAAAACATTCAACATTTTTTTAGCACTTCTTTCCCATTTCCTCTCCAAAAAGAAGTTTTGAAAACTTACTGGTTTTTGTCGGGCATCATAACCACACTGAGTATTAATGACATCTTCCTAAAAATAAAGACAAAGAATTTGCAATAGATGTCTTCTTTTATCAACAAAAATTCTATCTCCAACACAAGATTTTGTCTAAGTAGTCCTAATTGGAACTAAAAACTCTATCGCTGAGCATCACCATTGTAAAGCATGATGTCATATAACAGTGATGGCGAATCTTTTAGACACCGAGTGTCCAAAAATCGCCCCGCCCCCCTGCCTGTCACACTCTGCTGCCTGCCCCACCACTCACCCTCCCCCGCCCGCCCGCCCACAGGGCCTCCTGCTACCTGCATGGCCCACCACAGCAGTTCGCCCAGGCGGCCCTGCAGTGCCATGGCGGCCACACCCTCTTCCCGTGCCCCACAGTATCATCTGTGTGCAACGGGGCATGAGAGCAGAGTCTTGTCCCTGCTGCCTGGCTGCCATCCTTGGCTGCACTGCTCCACATGGGGCGTGCCCGGGGGCGGCTCTCCAGGGGGGCTGCTGGTGAGGGGGCCGTGGGGGGAGGTGGGGCTGGGGCGATGGCACACGTGCCCACAGAGAGGGTGTCAATGCTGCAAATACTCTGAGTGTCACCTCTGGCACGCGTGCCATAGGTTCGCCACTACTGTCATATAACCATGCCAACTTATGATGGCAGTTGCAACAGTCCCAGTTGCCATCTGTAAGTGAATCCCACAGTCTCACAAGTTCACAAATATAGATAAAAACATGATTCTTGCCAAACAGATACATTTTTCATGGATATGAAAACTAGGTATTCAAAATTAACTTTAGTTAATTAACTTTAACAGGTTTCATAATAAAAATTACATACTTTCTTCTCCATTCCAGAGGGATGGGCCAGGTTTGTCTGCCACAGCATTGGAAAAAAAAAACCTCCGTGATACCTTAAATTAAAAGCTAATATATTTTATGGTGGCACTAGCCTAGTGTAAGAGCAATCCCATTGTGATGGATGGCCTTTTCTGGATATAACAGTAGCTTTGCCAGGCTTCTGTTCTGACTTACAGCAGGATCTTTAGTGCAGCAAGAGAAAGGTACTCCACACCGTTCTCGACTAGCATTGGTGTCTGTGCAGTTGAAGTAAATGTTGAGGTTCCAGTCATCAGCCCCAAAGGCCCCACAGCACTGCCACTAGGGTAAGGAGGGGAAAAAAAGACAGAGGTATCACAGTTCTGGCAACATGGGCCAGGCCCAGCTGTTCTTCTAAGCTACCATTCCAAATCACTCTATGAATTTATTTTGTACTGGAAATACATGCAAAAGTTTTCAAGTCTTTACTGTAGTGCATGACTAGTTCCCCTACAATTAGGAATTGCAAAAAGCTCCCAAGACATTGTATCTGCCACAATGCTCCAAACAGATAGGATTTTTTCTCCTTAAACAGTGCTTTTCATTTAACCAAGTCTTTTAGAAAGTAGAGAAAATCCACCACCCTTTGTGGCAAAACATCACGTTACCAATGTGCAATATAGAGAGATATAATTAAAATGTGAGTCAATTATTTAATGCAACTTGCACATGGCGCTGATTTTGTGGGTCCTAAGGCTTGAAATAAGACTTCAGAGAGGATCCCCTCAAATCACCTTTGCTGTGCAAATTAGAAAAGCTTGTTCAAACTTTTCTGGAAATCTGTTCATACTCCTGCACCATTCAATGACACATCTTGTTCAAGCTTGTTCAGGGAGAAAAGGCTTAAGTTAACTCAGTCACAGCAGCAAAACAACTATATCAGTTCACTTATCCAAAACAGATTGTTCATTATTCTGTGTTGGCTCATGCCTTATAACTTTAGCTGAACACAAAAACTGTGGCCCCAAGATATTCAAAATGTTGTCCATTTCCTCCAGTTATGAGAATAATCATGTGAATCCATTTGCTATGAAATTTGCAAAATATTTCTCAATAAATACTGCTAATTTTTACATTAGTGATACTACAGTTCAATGAGAAACATGCCTACAATCATCCTGAAAATGTTTTCAGAAAACCTTTCAGAAATAAACAGATAAGAAATGAAACGCAAATAGTACAATGGGGAAAAGTTCTTAAGTCAAGCTGTGCTTGACTTGGAATGGCTTCATGGATAGTTTCATGTACTTTTCTTGCCAACAATGTGGTCATTGCCTTCTTCTAATCATAGACTGTATTCTAATCTACAACTCTGTATTTACTGAGGATACTTCATACAACTACTATATTGGTCTGACTTTCTTTGCCTTTCTGAAATCAGCCAAAATTAATGTTGCCACTGGCTGCAGATGAATAGCAAGAGTCACAGTCAAAGTGGGATATTTACCCTTATAGCAGAGTTGGCAGATCTGTGGTTCACCAGTTATATATTTAATTAATGGACAAATTATTTTTTTATCAAACTTATATGCCACCTATCTCAGTATCCAAATGACTAAGGGCAGCATTATAAATGGCCCATCAGATGTTGCAGAATTATAATTCCTAGTCATTCCTATCTAAATGAATAAAAGTGGCGGATGCTAGGGATTGTAGGATTTCACAACATCTGGTGGGCCGTGTAGGTTCCACAGTCATATCTTAAAGAAAGAAGAAGCTCTTACATATTCTTGGGTAAAGTCTATGAGATTTTGCAAATCAATGTCATCTCTGTATGCTCGGATATTGTTGTTGATAAAGAAATACAGCTGGTCTTTGATCCAGTCTTTGAAAACAAATGCCAGAACTCCCGCTGTGAGTTCCAGGAAGAAGATTATTCCAAGGAAGACTGAGAACTGCAAAGAAGTAAAATAATTTATTGGCTTCAATAAAACCTTGAGAACTAATGCAATTCCAAAGAATCAAATGGATAAAAACTGATAATATTACAGGTATTTTTACTCATTTTACAGCTCACTATTCTCAGTGAGGTTGGCAAAAATAACAAACCATACACATACTTTAAGCACAACACTTTCAGTTGTGCTTAAAGTATGTATGTGTATCGTTTCTTGTTTTTGCCAGCCTCATTGAGAAACAATTACAGCAAAAACCATATTAGAGGAATAATGAATTACACATGTATTATAGCAAAAAGTCTACCTTTTCAAACAGTTCCATATCCAGTTCCCTTTGGAATATCCAAGTTTTCAAACAACCAATGACTCTGTTTTACAGCAATATATTCATCTAAACCATGAGTGGCCAACTGCAGCCTTTGGTATTGCAGGGAACCAGATAGGCTTTTCAAATTTTGTTGGTTCCTTCCAAGATGATGACGACGATGACGACGATTATTATTATTATTATTATTATTATTATTATTATTATTATTATTATTATTATTATTATTATTATTATTATTATTATAATAGCAGGGAAATGGACTGCTAATGTCCTACGGCCAATTAATGGCAGAAAACTAACCAATCCATCTAACCGTTTGACCAACTGGTAGATATGAGCCAGTCTAAGATTTTTTTGCTGCCGATAAGTCATTATTGCTTTTTATACTCCCTGCAATTGTCAAAGGAAATCACTAATGACTAAAATGAACATTTACATCTCAGAATTGATGCTGAAGCATTACAAGGCTCGAGATTGTAAACACAAAGCATGAACAGAGCATGCATAAATTAACTAGAACTATAGGCAATGGCTCTATCTTCTCAGTGCCTCAGCTTGCCATAATATTAATTTATTCATGGTTGCACTTCTTATTAACAATAGATGACTTAAAATGAAGGTAAAATAGTAAGATTTAAAGAAAGAATTACCAGTGGTTCCATTTAAAGAAGAACTTATCAGTAGTTCCACTCAGCATTAAGCTAGTGAAACAAGATCATCCATTATTTTACATATGTTTAAACATCCCATTCAAGTTGATCACCCGAGCTGGATTTTAAGGTGTTTTTAAAAAATACAAATCTCTCCAAAAAAGCTTGAAGTAAATTTTTAAAAGAACTGAAGGAGCAATGTGGTAGTTACTTACAAACTTGAGAAGAAAAGTGTTCTCCCGCAGAGCACCGATGCATCCTGCAAAGCCCAATATGAACATCACTCCTCCAACCACAAGGAAGAGCCAAACTGGATCAAAGCCACCCAGGTCAGTAATGGAAGAGATGTTGGACAGCACCCCCTTTGGCAGTGAATGTAAAAGGAAGAAGAGGTGAGAGAGGACGAAACAAGAAATACAAATATATCACAGATGTATCCGGCTTTTACTGTCACTCCCCCTTCCTTTTCAAGGAAAAAATGAAAGAGTCACACTTAGCATTTGGCATTTCTGTCCAGAAGAGATTAATAACATTCTGTACAAAAGTGATTACTTCCTGTAAATTCTTTCTGCGTTGACACATATCAGTCTACCAATGCAATCAGGCCCACAGCCATATCCTTTGTGAAAAAGTCACGAAATGTCATTTAGCACACTTTTGCCAAAAATGGTTTGTCAAAAGGTTAGGAAAGCAATAACGAAGGAGAGAAACTAAGAATGGTGCAGCAAGGCTAATTTTTAGATGCTCACAGTCTGCCCTTTTATCTGCTAATTACATTCAAGTATGTCCATACAAATTGTTAAATTCCAATAAAATATTAATCTTCTGAAATACTGAAAAATGAAATAACTCTAACCCAACATGAAAGAAGGAATATTTTCTCCCTCTCATTATTATACTACACACACCAGAAGAGAACCAGGATATGCAATATCTGATAAACAGTCCCATCTGTAGTACTGTATTAATATTAACACTGTAATATTGGATCCCAGAAAAACAGGAGACATTATCTACACCCTGTGAGCCAACCTAAAGCAGAAAAACATACAAGTATTATTTAATGACTGCCTCTATATATTATCCTGGCATTCTAGGAAATAAAAGTTGATATTAGAGATTGAAAGTTGGATTTCCCCATCACACAGTGAACAACACACAGGAATATATTCAGGAATATTAAACTATATTCCAAACATTTGGATATCTTTTTATGAAAATCTTTGGATCTACTTCACCTAAATAATTACACAGTCACATGTTTTTGGAAACATGCTTCTGGACCAGATGATAAAAGTTGGCTGATTGATGAAATGTGTTTATTCTAAGTCTTTAGACTGGTTCCATATCAATTGGACCATCTGAATCTGTGTGTTTGATTTATTGTATAAAATCAGAGTTGTAGTAATTTTCATGTAGTTAAATAATTATTGCTGCATTTTATTTTTTCTATGTCTATATTTTTATTTGTATCCATGTTTTGTTTTTCTTTTTAAACTGTATTAGTACTACAGTATATAGTGTTCCAACCTAATCCCTTTTCAAAAGCCCTTTAAATTGGCTGTCATTGCTACAATTGCTGGCAGCAAATGCACTATGTAAAACAGTATTTTATTAGTCCTGAATTTCTGTATTTAATTTAATTTAAAGGAACAAAAATAACTTTTTTCTGTGCCATTAATGATTTTATGTAGTTCTTTGATCATACTGTAATAACCAGACAATTCTTAAAACAGGAATTCCTTCTCAAAAGAACGAAGCTACTATAGCTACATAAGCTATAGACCTGAACTCAACCAAATCCATTCAAGTGGCTTATTGTACTAACTGAGTCTTCTCCAACTGGTTTCTTCCAGTTTTGTTGGAGGGTGATCTCCTCTAATCCTCAAACAAGAGGATGAAAATCCATTTTGGCTAAGGATTACAGAGGAAGGTGACCTACAGGAGTTTTTAAACCTGGAAAACTTATGTATGGACTTAGTGCTAAGTCTTAGTGGGATTTGGAATCCACGCCTGTGGAAGTTGCCAGATCAAGAAACACTAATCTAGAAGGACATTAGTTGTTTAATCTATTTGGAGATTATCAATTACATCCGGGATAGACAACACAATCCCAATGTTCTCAGTTGCCACAGCATCCAACATCAGAAGGGCCACACATTGAATACCTCTAAATTAAACCAAGCCATCTTTCATACCTACTACAAGCTTTAGCATATATAAACAATTAATTACGTAATTTAAAAAATCCTGAACTGAACTCTTCCAAATTGCAAGAGAGGGATTTCAATGATACATGTAATTTTAACAGCTCCCTGCAATTCTTACTTTCTCACCAAGGACAGAACTAGGCTCTTCCCATTCTTTAAAATGTCTCTTTCCAACTTCATTTTCTCCTTTATATCTAAGACTGTCATCTCATTTACAGAAAAAAAAGGCAGCCAGGTTTTAATTATCTAAGTCTGAAAGCTGCCAAAATTAAGTGTAAAGATAAATGCATGTCATTTTTTGATAGCAGAGAAACAAGTCATAACAACCATCATTTTGAAGACGCTCCCTGTTTTCTCAAACAGGGCAGAATCACTCGGAGACACTGGCAATTTTAACCAGTTCTTTCATCTATATATTAACACTTTAAAGTATATTGCACAACATATTTCTGGAAGCAATTCAAAGTGCCAGTTTTTATTTTAAAAGCATTTTATCAACAGGACTGACTCCTCCAGCCTGTCCAAGGCAATTCTCTTGGGGTAAGTTGCAGATGATCCCCCATTTTTCTGGCATGATGAGGGATGAAGCAGAAAACCATATTTTTCTTATTTTGTGGAACAGCCAATTGTGGCTTTTCCAGAATTGAATCCTTGGGATCTTTCATTTTGTAGAGTATATTTATGTTATTTATTTTTATTACTGATTTGTTAAGAATACACTATTATTTTACATAATTTATCTGTTAAGATTTATTTATTTATTTTTGTTAGATGTATATCCTACCTTTCCTACAGGAGTTGAAACCACTACACATAATACTTCCCTCTTCCATTTTATTTCCCAACAATTATCTTGTGGACTGAGAGAGTGACTGGACCAAAGTCACTTAATTCTATTATTATGTCTGTTTTTCACTGCTGTAAACCACCAGGTGTCTAAAAGGATTTACAGTAATAAAGAAATCTAATAAAAAAATAAAGAGAAGATACAATTTGAGTAAGCCTGAGACTCTATTAAAGATGGCACTCTACATGCGTCTTCTAAAATCTTGGGTGCCTTTTCCCTACTGCAAAGATGTCAACTGGTTGCTTAGCAACCAGTTGAAGTTACAATGGACCCTCCCTCTGCAAAGACACTTAAAACCTGAATTCAAAGTTCTGATGGCCACCCCTCTCAGTCATGTGCCCACATTTCGGGTGCTAGCCAACCTGCTTGCATTTACGGCCATTTGCAACCTTGGTCAGGTGACTGCAATTTGCAACATTTTTGCCAGAAACCAGAGTTTACCTCTGGTTTCTGGCAAAACAAAAAACAAAAAAACCTGGCCATAGTGAACAATGGGTTCATTCAACAACTGCGACCCCCCCAAAAAATAATCATAAAATTGGGTGTGGTCACGTGATGACCCATTTAATGACCATTATGACTAACAACTCTAATTACAGGCTCAATCACTGTAGTAAATTGAGGACTACTTGCAGCAAAGTTTGTCAGATATAGAATATGCTTAACAAGGTATCTTTTAAAGAAGGAACTCTTTTTTTAAATATTGGGAGACCTATTTAAATGTACTTGGCTGTATAGATTGCTGTTGTCAACTTACTTTTTCATTCCATGCCCAAAGTCCTATTCCAAGAAATGCTATGCCCAGGAACTGCAAGAGAAAATGAGAAAGAGAGAGGGAAAAAACAAGAAGTAAGATTAGCAAGCATTTCAAGAGATTCCCCAAGTATATCCTCTATGAGCATCTTATAGTAAATCCAAATTAAGCTGAACCAAGACTGGTATATGTAAAACTTGAACCAACTGAAATACATTCCAATGGGCTCCCTAAAACAAGGTCTGCAACCTTGACAACTTTAAGACTTGTGGACTTCAGCTCCCAGAATTCCACAAGTCTTAAAGTTGTCAAGGTTGCAGACCCCTGCCCTAAAAGACTAAAACTGCTTCAAAAACAGATGGACCTTTACTCTTTAATTAGTAAGTTCTGATTTCTCAGTGCTCACAACTGAAGGGTAGGGACAATTTTCAAAAAGCAACATTCTGTTTTGAGTGTACAGGAAACATCTTACTAAAAATTAAGTTCATGGACATTTGTGAAAGTGAGCAAGACACCACCCAAGAAAAATACAGGGCAGCTCCCCTTCCCCAAACTGCTCCCAGCCGGCAGCTTCTCTCCCAGAAACCACATTTGGGGTACTTGGCACCAACATATGGATGGGTGTTTACTGCAGACTCTTATCCTCCAGCAGAAACCAAATCCGGCATTACTGAGTGTTCAAAATCACGAAGTGGCTTCAAGTTAGAGCTTCAGAGACAAATCCTTTGGGGAAGAATTTAAGTTCCACTTGTTGCTTTAAAGTGGAATTACAGTACTGGGAGATCCCCAGCCTCCCCTCTAATTTACTTTTTCTCATTTTCAGTGCCTAAAAAGACTTTTGATAGAGTATGGAGCCAGCAAATTAAGATCACAGAAAACATTCATGGAATATCAGATGATAAAAACGACAAAGTTGATGTACCTTCAGAAGCTGATGCTAGAAATGTTGCATTTGACTCAAAAAGAACATTTAGAAAAAATCGTATGGTTAGCCTCCAGACCTGAGGTCCCCTTTCTGCACTTGGAGAAACTTATACTGGCTTCCAGGTTCCTAATACTGTGACTATAATAAAAAAAATTACATTTATATGAGATCTGAGAAAGTTATTTGTAAATTATGGAAGCCATATTTTTAAGGAAAACTGTCAGGTTTTTTTCAAAGGATACTGTATTTTAAAATATACTTCCTGAATATGTAGTATTGATTTAGTAACAGTACAACTGAATTGAAATAAACATTCAAGCTAATTTTTCAAAAAGTATTTAAAACAAAGTGAAGTCAAAATCAGGATACTACTAGAAACCATTTGTTCAAATAATAATAGAAAGGAGCAGAAATAATAATTGTGTGAGGTCCTTGGTGCTTTCTGAGCTTTGTTGTTTTCTTGCAAACGTTTCACTGTCCAATCAGGTAACATCATTTCTTGGTGGTTCCCTGGTGGTTCCTTCCTCAGACAAATCAGCCGTCAACAGGCACACAGAGGTAACAACATGTACATATCATTCAAAAGAGACAACCATAAGCCAAAAAGGAAACAAAAAGACCAAAACACCTCCTCACCAGTAATCAACACCTAGATTAACACCAAGATTAATACCAGACCAACAATCAAGCAGTAAACAATACCCTAACTGAGGAACTACCAACTCATACAAATAAGCTATTGGTAGGACAAGCCACTAGTATATAAACAGAGAGCAAACACCATTCCTTTCTAGCACTTACGTTACCTAGTTGAGTAATGAAACATCTGCAAGAAAACAATCAAGAGAGTACCAAGGACCCCACAATTCAACCCTGAGCCACAAATATTTTCTTCCAATAACAACTGTAGCTATAGTAGTAAAGTATTCTTGTCCATAAAGAATTTTGTCATACAAGCTGCCCCAGGACAGATCTTGACAGCTTGCTAACAATTTCTTTTCCTAAAGTCTCAGGTTCCTCCACTTCTAACTATCTTAAGTGCAATACATAATACTTCACTATAGTTCCTATTCAGGCTGCCAAATCATCAAAATTTGGACCACCCTGAGATATTTGTGAATTCAATACACACTCTCTCTCTTTCTCTCATAGTTCTCCAAATTTTTGCAGTTAAGATCTGGAACCTTTTACCTTGATGTCCCTTAGCAAACAGCATTACAAAGCACCTACACTGAATATAATGTTTCCAGCGATAGCCAAAGAACGCCCCAAAATAAATGTATACATATGCAAATTTGCTAGTGAGAAGCAGAAATTTTTCAAGCAACTACTCTGAGCAACAGATATCCACTTCAATTCTCCTGTTGGCCTGAACAGATTTATAAATTTATTGTCAATAGTGGAACAAGCAGAAGGACAGCAAATCCTTACATTATACACTATTCTTATCTATACTCCAATACTCTGCACACCTATTACTGCTCTCTCCAAAAAGCAAAATAGTAGTGATGAAGTATTTCTTGTCACATATGTTAAATAATCACTGCAGTTGTTAAATTAAAACACAGTTGTTAAATGAATCTGGCTTCCCCATTAATTTTGCTTATCAGAAGGTCGCAAAAGGCAATCACATAATCTGGGACACTGCAATTGTCATAAATACATACCAACTGCCAACTGTCCAAATTTTGATCACGTGACCATCGGGATGCTACAACAGTAATAAGTATGAAAAATGGTCATAGGTCATTTTTTTGGGTGCTGTTATAACTTCAAATGGTCACTAAACGAATAGTAGTAAGTTGAGGACTATCTGTACTATACAGCATGACTTTCCAGAGAGGCTGGGAAGTATGACTCAGCAGCATCTAAGATAGTGTTTGACCAATCTTCCAAATATGTGAACTGGAGTCATAAAATTCTAGCAATATCATGCTACCTGAAGAATTCTGGGAAGTGAAGTCCATGTATCTGGAGGGCACCTAGCTGGGGAAGAGAAATCTAAAAAGTTACAGAACTGATCCTCCATAATGGAATCAAAGTATTTTCAGGATTAGCTTACCAAGACTGAGCATCACTCAATAAGTCAAGAATGCCTACATGGAATTAGCAACCAAAGGAAAAATATATTGATTTTATGGTATATTTAAGGTATATATATTTTCTCAGGGGCTGTATAAAATCAATCCTTTCACTAATCATTAGGTATAGTCCAGCTACTGGGAGAAGACAAGTGGCTTTCTAATCTTTTCTTTCAGATACCTTTCCTGATACTTTAACTGGTTTACCACAAGCTCAGTGGAGTTCAAATGAGTGAATTATTTTTGTTTCATTTTATATAATGTTTATAGTTTTTCAAACACATTTTTATGCCATGTTTCCTTATCCTTTTTTAAAAAAAAAAGTCAATGCCAATTTTGTATACCTTATTCCTTGATACAGCATGCTTACAAGCAATTTATATAGGCTTTTCTCTGTCCAATGGCATTTTTAGTGTAGGAATTCCAGTAAAAAATTCAGAGGAACACAAAAACAGAGGGATATAGATGTTCCTTGCCATGCATTCATTCAAAACGAACTAATGTCACTTCATTGGCAGTTCCTATTAAAGTGTAAGCTAAATAATTATGTTCTCGTCTGAGCTAGGACAATCTCAGGCCCCACAAAACGGTAGGTCTGCTTTTACCTAAGGTTAAAAAAAAATTAGTACAGTGTTAGAGCCTTCAATATCTAGTGTTGGACTGAGAGCAAAAGTATAGTTTGTAGTAATTCAGAAGCCATCATAAGTTCTAGTTCATCAACCAGAACAGGAAAGGAAAACCGTTCTGAGAAATGTTATGAATCCAGGAACATGGTTCTAGAATAACTATGATATAATAAAATGATGGGTTACTTTGAGGGTCCTCAAGTCCAGGTTGGTTTTGCTACAAATGCATAACAATGCTAGCCTCTAAAACTGTTTCAATTCAGACATCATTCTAAATTAAGTCTGTGTTTCCAAAGCTAGTCTCCCACTTAGTCACAAATCATATTTCATCAATAGATTCTGATAACATTTTCAATCAGTTTGCATTACACATGAACCAAGCTAATAGGTCTTTGCTTCAGTATTTTAATTTTCTTTTGAAGTATAAAGATGGTCTACCCTAATGTAGATTCTCTGAATTTCAATAAAAGATCTTAAGAATTACAGAGGACTCCAGAAATTCAGTATAAATCATACATTAAATAATGAGTCAACTATTACATTCAATGCAAGCAGAAAGCCAATACTGTGAAGATGAGATAGTCATGATATTAACTTTCAATTTTTTTCTATAATAATCTTTTGGAATTAAGATTAGTCCTTTAATGTAGAGGCTGCATCCATTTGCCCAGAATCTACTCTGTTCTAAAAATATATATCCTTTCCTTTTGCAATGTACTGTAAGCTCAGTTTACAATCAATAGCATCTTCCAAGTACTGAAATAAGAGAGATAGTAAGAACGTAAGAGTACCAAAGTAAAACTAATTCAGATAACTGTTTGAAAATCTGTGAAAGCACTCTTAACTAGGCACCAAAAAGATGAAAGATTGTATATTACACTCACTGACCTGGTTCACACATCACGCAATGGCACAAAATAGCCTTGTTTGATTTGACTTTGTGTATTGTACAAACCCAGCCAGCTGTGGTTTACTCAAGGAACACAATTATGCTTATTGGCTTTGCATAGTTTTTAAATTCTACAGCATTATGACCTCACCAACTGACAAGGATATTGTGTATTGTAGCTCAACAACATCAGGGAGGGCACAAACCTTGCTGACTTGCTCAACTTATGAAATGTTATTTCATTCAGGCTAGGGCTTAGCACAGAAGAAACATATTGCCCCTTGTCAGTAATTACCTTTAAGTACCTGGGCTGGATCCTTGCAAGACCACATATCAGCCTTCTCTGTGAAGACCTGACACAAATAGCAGACCTGCTCCACATGGGTATGCCACCAGTGTCCAGTACTGGACCCCTACAATATTGTACTGTATTGTGAGACCTCGTCTCTGTGCAAACAGCAATCCATTCTGGACTTCCGCAACTTGTAGGTACAATACATCAGACATTTGCCAAACTATACTTCAACCTTGCA